GGTAAGCACAGCACTTTATGAGCAGCATAATTCTCCCCTCACATCAAGGTTAGTGACAAGATCAAGCAGCGGCCCTGGACACGACCTGCTCCAGCTATGTGGTTAAAGAGGATTCATTCATTTATTTATTAAAAACACGCCAGCACTGGAAGCTAACATTCAACAGCTTCAGGATTAACATGTAAACAGTCCTTGCAACTGCAAACATAGCCAGCATTGGTTGTCTGCAGCTGGACAAGAGAAAAAAACTAAAGTAGGCAAGAAGAAAACCAAACACGTGATTATTCATTGGGAAATTAGGACACAAAGATCAAGGAGAAGCTCTTCAAAAATTGTGCTAAGGTTATCTGCAAAAGATACCAGAAAACGTACAAAACAGTGGGGAAATATAACACACATCTCCCAGAGAGCTGAGAGTAACACTCTTCACCCCTCAGAGCGCTGCCTGAGAACCAAACCTTTTGCTGGAGACAAAACCAACCCAAAAAGTTCCAAAAAGACACAGGATTTGTCAGAGGAAGTGACTAAGGAAGCGTTACGGGTCTGAAGGAAGGCACCCTGAACCTCCTGCCCACCCCAAGCCTCACTTTGTGCACTGGCAAGTGTAAACGGAATCCTTACAGAAATAAAGGGCATTTACAGAACGGGTCGGGGATTTACATCACCGCTGACTGGGAAGGAACCCGTAAGCGGCGATGAATGCAGCACTTCAGGCGGCCCGCTGGAAGCCATTGTTTGGCGTTTACTGCAGATCCTTTAATTTCTCCTATCGGCACCCAGCCGCTCACCACACCGAGGGCCCTGCGAGATTCCTGCGGTGGGAAGGGAGCCGCAGGAGAGCATCAAAGTTAGAGAAGGAACGAACGAGGCGCTCGGCTCCTGCTGTAAGAGTTGGAAAAAGGGGGAAGGGGAGCAGAGGGAGCCCGGTGCCTGCCAACAGCGGTTACGGGGCCTGCTCTGGGGGGGGGCAGACGGGCTCCTGCAGCCCCCAGCTGGGGCTCGGACCCCCCCAAAGCCCCTCAGGGGGCTCCGTTACCGCCCAGCCCCCACCCAACGGAACCACCACCGGGGGGGCTCCCCGTGAGGAGGAACCGAGCCCCCCACACACACCCCGAGACCCCCCCTGGAGGCCGAGACCCCCCCTCAGGGCCTTGTTCCCGTCACGGCCCCACCCGGCGGTGCTGAGGGGGGGGGGTTGGGGGGGGGGGGGGGGGGGGGGGGCTCCGACCGCTCCTTCCCGCCCAGGAGCCCCCTGAGGAGGCCTCGTGAGGGGGGTTTGGGGGGAGGGGGGGGAGGCCGGGCCCCCACTCACTTCCTCTGCGCCTTCTCCTTCTTGGCCTTGGTCCGCTTCTTCCGGGCCTGCAGCGCCAGCACTGCGGGGAGAGAGGGAGAGGGGCGTGAGGGGACCGGGGGGGGAGCCGTGAGGGGGTTCTGAGGGGGGGTTCGGGGGTCCCCTCCCGGCCCGCACCTTTCCGCTCCATGGCCGGCAGCCCCGTGGGCCCCCCGCGCATGCGCGCCGCCGCCTCCCCCTGCGCCACGCCGGGCCGCGCCGCGCATGCGCCGAGCTTCGCGCGCAGCCGCCGCCGCCGGAGAAGAGCCCCGCCCATCGGCACAGCCGGCTCCTCCCCCCGGCTCGAGGAGCTGCTGGAGGCGGGGCCAAGCGCCGAGGCCACGCCCCCCGCTCGCCGCAGGCTCCGCCCCCGCTCGCGCGCCGCGGGGAGGGGCTGGAGGGGAGCCGGAGCCGCCATGGCGCGGGGAGGGGAGGGAGGGGGGGGGCTGGGGGGAAGGGGGCGGAGCGCCGCGCGTGTGACGTCACGCGGCGCGTGTGACGTGAGAGGGGCGGGATACGAGGAAAAGGAGGCGTGGCCTGGAGGGGAAAGGGGCGTGGCCAGGTTCCCGCGCCCGCGCCGGGAATGAGCGGGAAATGGATGCCGGGTCTTGGGAGGGGGGGAGCTGGGGGTTTTGGGGCTGGATCTGGGGGTTTTGGGGCTGGATTTGGGGGTTTTGGGGCTGGATCTGGGGGTTTTAGGGCTGGATTTGGGGGTTTTGGGGCTGGATCTGGGGGTTTTGGGGTCGGATCTGGGGGTTTTAGGGCTGGATTTGGGGGTTTTAGGGCTGGATCTGGGGGTTTTGGGGCTGGATCTGGGGGTTTTGGGGCTGGATCTGGGGTTTTGGGGCTGGATTTGGGGTTTTGGGGCTGGATCTGGGGGTTTTAGGGCTGGATCTGGGGATTTTGGGGTCGGATCTGGTGCCCAGGCCCCCGCCGGCGTCCCCTGGGCGCGCGGCCGGCGGCACGCAGCGCAGACGCCACGCCCGGAGCAGCGCCGTGGCGATTTCCGCACGGATTTGACCCAAATTTCCGCCCCCCCACCACCACCCGAACCACCCGGTGTGGGGGCAGCGGTGGGGCCGGGGCGCTGGGTGCCGGCTGGGCACAGCCTCCTGCGGAGCGGACCTCGTCGTCCTGCCCCCAGCTGGGCGAATAACGCGGGGCAGGGGAAGGCTGGTTAATTATCAATGGGGTAATGAAGGTGCCAGGTGGTCGTGGTGCTTCCATCCCCTCGGTGGATCCATGCGAGAATCGGAGGTGGCGTTACCAGCACTGATACAGCACTTCCATGGGCTTTGCTGGACCAGTATCTCAGGGGTTACACATTTCCCTTAGAACTTCTAGTTCCGTTCTTTTTTACACCATTTTACTCAAAAAAAAAAACCACGTTTGTAGCTTTGTTACGAGCACTTGCTGCATTCTCTCCGGTTCCAGAAAGGGATTTTGGCCCCGCACAGCCGCCCGGTGCTGCGGGGAAGCCAGCAGAGGGAGCCGCGGCCACCCAGCAGTGCGCGTCCTCGGCCAGATGCCTCGCACGGGGCGTTTTAAAGCATGGCCGAGAGCAGGGCCCTTTGGCATCAGATTATAACTATTTTCCAGGGGAGGTAGGTACACACGTGGGCAATTTGGGGAGGCAGAAAAGGCCTTTTCATAATCTGTAGGTTTTGCTTTATTACCCACTACGAGCTCTGGGAGTTACGGGTGTAGTTCCTCTGACCCCCTGCAAAGAGTTTTAAGTGAGAAACTGCAGCACAAAATATGATACTAACACAACACAGAAGGACAAGCTTACTTCTAATTTTCAGCATTTGCACAACTGGGATTCAGAGCAATGTGAGCTGCAAGACCTCAAGCACGATGCAGTCCCCCCACTGGTATCCTGCAGCAACTCTCAGACAGCCCCTGCCTCAAAGAAGTCCCAACAGAAACAGCACAAAACCTGCAGGGATCTCAGCACTCTGGTACTGCAGAGGGATGCGGTGCCCCATGTTTGTACTAAATGTGCTCTGCAGTTGGCTCTAACGAGGTGTAGCTCCCACCTGCCAGGGCTGCTGTTCTGTTTCATGCTTCCTGGGCCAGATTTCTTCATGTGAGGACATCAAAGACGGCACATGGCCAAATTGGAAGGCAACAAAGCAAAGCAAGGATGTAGATAAGGATCGCAGACCCTCGGACGCTTGCTTCCATCACCACGTGCCATCACAATCTGAGCCTCATGCAGAGGTCTCCTGCAGAAGCAAGGTATTACTGGCAGGGGACTGAGCACCTCCTCTCCTGCTGGGTTTCTTCCCTGACTCTTCTAATCTGGGATAGAAAAACGCAGTCTGGGCTAGCACCCTCAAAGGGTTGCCAGGCCCTAGCCCAAATCCATCCCTCTTTCCCCAGACAGCCTGGCACTAGCAGAATGAATGCCCCCGAACTGTGCCCGTATGTAACCAGTCCATCTGGTCCTTCCTCATAGCTCCCTGTGCAGGGTGACACCCCGCAGCACAATGCCCCGAGAACTGCTGCTGCCACTCTCCCTGCGACTCCTGGGGCTTCTCCACTGCTTTACGTCTTCTGCAGCCATTCATGCAGCAAAGCAGCGTGTTAATAAAATGCCAGCAGGGTTGGCAGGTTGCGTGCACTTTGCACAGCGTGTAATGATAACGTGCGTGGCGATGTTTTGGGATCTGTGTCCTCTAATTCACGGTGCAATGGGGGAGCTGCCTGGGTTGCTGCAGCGTGCCCTGCTAGGAAAACATCGTGGCATCACGCTAGCTGGGAAGAGCATTAAAAAGCTGCTGTCTGCACAAAACAACTGGGGTTGTTGCAACTAGGTCAGGTGAGAACATCAAACTGCCTGCAAGCACACGATTACAGACAGGCCTTTGAACTCTGACTTCTGTGGCTTTTCAGAGGTATAGGTGGAGTCCTCGGCCATAAAGTACGTGCTTTGTCACTTTGCAGCCTGTGTCCAGGGATTTGTGCTTGGCTAAACACAGAAGCCTTCTGTACATGTGCAGGAGCAGAGTTATGGCACCGTGCAGCTATAAGGGAAAAAGATCAGGATTGTCTGGACTTCCTCTCGGCAAGGTATTTGTTTTGCAACACAAATACCCATAATTTGAGAGCTAACATACTGACGTCTGAGTTGTCCCCTGGTGCTCAGCTCTGCAGAGTCATGGGGGTAGGAAGGAAAGATTCCAAGCTCTGCTATGCAAGCCAAAGAAAAAAAATCAAGTCTTAAGTTTGTAGTGCAGACTTTGCATGGTGCCAACAGCTAGGAATGCCACTTCATCTTAAATCAAGGCTGCCACAGGAGAGCCAAGAGAATCTGGAAGTGAGGGCTATGCTTTTCATGGGGTTTGTGTTACTCTGTTTTGAACAGAGCTGAGAGGAGCTTGGCGTGAAGCCACTGTCCAAAACAATGTAGGGAAGCATATGTGGTTTGAGAATTACTCAATACCATTTCAGCTTTCAGTTTTTCCTGTCTTTTAGTCCAAAAGGTATGAGGGTTCCAGCACTCAGTTTCCTTCCCAGTAAGCAACTCAGCACAGTAATGTTCACTAAAATCCTTCGCCATTGCACTTCACACATGCAGAGCTGCGGCTTCCCTTGAGAAACCCCTTGGAAGAGTATGAAGTTAAATGAAAAAAAAAAAAAAGGAAAAAAGAGAAGAAGAACTCACTGCAGTACATTACAGGTAGTTTAATATTAACATTCCTATTAGCCATTGTATCATTGCTAAAATTTAGCAGCCAGGAGCAGAATTCAGAGGAACCACCGTGCTATTACTCTACATCAAGAAACCAGGCAATGCCCAGCAGCGAAAGTTAGAGCTGTTCACATGTTTTGGAATTCAGCCCAGAGCATAGACCTGTGTATAAAGGACCCATCATTTACACCCAAACTTTGCACTGAAATGGGGCTGAATAGGATATAGACACAGTGCTGGCCACTCATCTACAATTAATTTCACTAAATAATTTCATTAATTCAATTAACTAATTTGGCTCTTTGCAGTGGGCAGTCTGTGCCATGAAATGATCCTCCAGATGAGGGTATGGCAAAAGCTTGTGGCATGTATTGCTGCTGTAGGTAAATGTTTCTGCTTTCAGTGTAATCCTAGGTCATTCCTCTGTACTGATAATACTGTGTTAAACTCTACGGCTGATGTACAGAAAATAGAAGTAAGCTGATTTTGTTTTCCCCAAGTGTTAACTGGTTATAATTTTCCTGGCTCTTCAGAACAAAATGAAAACATTTCTCCATTCTTCGCTATTTCAGCAAGAGAATGCAAAGAACATGAAAAAATAAATTACTGTTTACTGGGATTTAGTTCAGGTAGCTAGACAGATGGAGGGAAAATTACTCAAAGGACTGGCATCATGTTATGTTAGTGCAGACAATATCAACCTCAGCAATTTGTCTAACAGTAATGACAAAATGCTTTTCTTTGAAGCTTCACATCACTCGACACACTTCTGAAGATAATAAAACTGTCTGCACATAATCTGCCAAGATATGGCAGATGAGTTTTACTTACTAGCAACCAATAAATATATAAAAAGTACTAAGTTGGGGCGTTTAAACTAATTTCTAAAGAATTTCAGGAAAGAAGTGTATATCATTTGCTAGAATTCACTACAAAACTAGGAATTATCTTGTACATTGAAATTTCTCTGCTGTTGCTATTGCTTAATATTATATCTATTTGAAAATGCCTGAAAGCAATAATATAAATGCTGCTTTTTGTTTAGAACAACAGAAGTACTGTAGGCATTAGTCAGGCTGTCTATTTTAAGAACTCTGGAACAGAAAAGAAAAGAAAAAAAAATAACATCAAATGCTGATAAGAACCACCAGAACTGTTGCTTGACAGTACCTTTCTCCCTTCTTTTGACATCCCAGTTCCCCAACACTTGTAATTCAGGGATTGCTGGTCTACTTCCACCTCTTCTCCCAGCCTGGGTCCTCGAAATCTGCTTGAAAGGATGAAGAATCAAACCGCCGGAGAGGGCTTGGCCCTGCTTCGTTCTTGGCTGAGCATCAGATATCTGGTGGCACTTCACACAGAAATCTGGTGTCAGAACTCCTTGTAGAGGAAAACTCTCTGGTCTTCTCCAAGAGCGACTCTGTTTTCTGAAATGTACACAAACATAGCTCTAGGCCAAGGGTGGCCAGTCAGTTGAGCCAGTCAAGTGCTGTTCCCATGCCAAGGCACTAGCATGTGAGCAGCAAGAGGGCCACGCTGGCGTGGGAGCACAGGGCAGCTCAAAACCCCAGCTGCTGAAGGAATGAGCCAGCAGGGCTGCCAAGCTGTCAGCTCTAAGCTGCTGTGGGTCCCTTCTGCACATCTGGCCCAGCCTCGTCTCACAGTGGACTTTTGGGGAACCATTGTCACCTCCTGCATGGAAGCTGCTCCCAACCTTTTCCCCAAGTCCCCTAAACAGTGGTGAATGTGTACTGACACCTTCATTCTATGGGAGAGAGTCATGAAGTTCAATACCTTTGTGCTAGACAGTGTAATGCCAATGTAAGAGTGTTAAAGAAGTTGTTCCGTGGGCAGCAGAACACAAGAAACCCATTTTCTTATGGATTTGGCTAGTTTTTTTTTCTTTCATTCCCCCCTCCTTCAGCTATAGGACCCCAGCCTGGCGGTATGCACAGCACAGTTAGCCAAGGCTGGGTTCGTTTTCCGAGGTGGGGCAATTACTGGAATCTTCTGCTCAGAAGAAGGGCCCTTCCTGGAACTTGCAACTGTCTACCCTATTTGAACTTGGCTGACACAGCCTATGAGCTTAAAAACTATTGCACAGGACTGGCAGAAAGATCACGTGCACAAGCTTCATTTCTTTGGAAAATCAAGCCAGTGCTGTCCTTCACTTCTCCCAACAGCCCCAAGGGAGCTGGTGCAGTAACCTCTGGAAATAAAAAGCTTGGAGCTTTTGCTCTGCCCTGGCAGGGTCCTTGCTCTGTGGGAGAAATGGAAACTGTCTAAAATGCCACAAAGTCATTCCCCGCTGCAAAACTGGCCTGATTCCTTTCCAGTCTGCACACAAAGTTGTCTTTCCCCAGGCTGGAACACAGGACTCAGAGAAACAAATTGGATTATTGGTGGTTTGTTGGTGGTTTTTGTTTTTTGTTTTTGTTTTTTGGTCTCTGTCCATTGCAAACCACAAAATAACTGAAAAATTCAAAAGAGCATCTGCTGTGCCCTACTTCCTCAGCAACATCACAAGCCTTTTAAGTTACTGACAGAGTAATTAACAACACGAAGACTTAAATGTTGGCAAAATATCCTACCTTCTGGTGTTTAGCTTGTAGTTTATCGGCAACCTCTTTCGAGCTAAGTTGTAGCCCATCTGGCTTTTGATGCTTCTCCACAGCAGCCAGCACGGCATCATGAAGAGTTAGAAAGAATATTCGTTTGGTGACACTTCCGACAAAGAAATCATTCTTCTCAAGCACTGCAATCACAGAGGCTATAAAAATGGGGGGGGGGAGAAATAAACAGCAGCAGAAGTCACAACAAGCAGTATAACTAAAACATTTAGCTGAAATTTAAAATATCCCTCATGATCAGTTAATATCCATAAACAAATACTGTACTCACGGTGACAGCCAGCTATGAAGACTGTAATGCCAGTGTCGCAAAACATGTGGATGATCTGTGGAAAGAATCCCATACCAGCATTAGAGTAATCTTGCTTTATGTAAGTGCACCAGAAGGTAAAACGTAAATGAGGAAAGAACTCCTTTGCAATGGTTTGTCTCTGAAGAAAGTCCTTCTTACAGCATCTCAAATCCCAATTCTTAGCTCAGCACTAAACAGCCAGGGTGTTCAAGATCTAAATGAGTGTTGACTCCAAAACCAGGGCAGGTTGCTGACCCTCCTACAGTGCACTATGCAGCACACAGTGTTATTTCTTCACTTAAACAAAAATGTCTTACAGGAACAGGCTAGCTCGAAACATTTCTACATACACAGACTCCATGCCCACATGTAAGCAATGAGAATAGGAACCTGAGTTTTCAAGCATGACCTGTAATTCTGTTAGTCTCAATTTTTACGTCCAGCATTTTTAGATGTATTAACTTAAAAGAACCAGATTTTAGAGGGGATTGTTTCTCACCATCTTCTCTATTCCTGGCCCTTTGTAATTAAAAGGCCTAAAAAAAAGAGTTACTTTGAAGGGGAAAAAAAAAAAAGCCATAAACCTCAATATTTCAGAGAATCACAAGAGAATCACAGGATTTCACAGTATGAGGCTGGAAGGAATCTGGAGAGACCTTATCTCCCTCCCCAAAGGGGATGTCATTTAATAGGTGGCAAATAAATCTTTATGGATCTTAGGGAGATCAGCTCAATGCACAATTATTCCCATAGGTGTTAGGAACAAATTAAACAGAACTCTTTGAAGTTGAGCTATAGACTTTGAGGGAGCTGAGTAAGAATCCATCTGGAACTGTCTTTCTGAGCAGCACAGCTACAATAAAATTATTTTTGCTAAATATATCTCTCCATTGGCTAGGGTCCCCACTTGAAGACTAAAATGTTCAATTCTTACTTCAAAGAAAAGGCTAATTAGGCATTCAGCAATCAAATCACTCCAAGAAAAGATAGCTGATAGTTTTACATACTTCTAAAGAAGAGATATTTTTTTTTCTAAGTTGGAAGAAAAAAATTTACAGCCAAAATGGAAAAAGCAAATTAGAGATTTTTATAAGTATGTTTTTGGTTTACATTATTTTAGAACTAATGACCATGGATGGCAGGTTTTAACAAGCATCAACAATGGGACTTGTGCTTTTAAAAAAGTGGCTTTATGGGAAGTTATTATTTTCTGAAAATAAATAGATGAATTTTGCACCCTGAATGGTCAACCAGAAGATACATAGATTGTTATGTAGCAGGGCACTTGAGGCTAACCAAAATGTATGATATCGGGTAAAATTTAGGTTTCACATTTTCATGCTAGATTTAGGTTGCTTACCTCTTTCAGTAAGTCTGAGCCTTGCAAATCCACATATTGCACCATGCTGAAGTCTAAAATAATGGTGTGAACTGGACACGACAAATCCGCTGACTCTTCCTCCTGACCTAACTGTACTGAGGAATTATCTATTGCAGAGCCTGCCAAAGGGCTAGCTCCTTTCCCTTCATCCTCCTTCTTTTCAGTCTTATCTCCTGTGTTAGTGCCCAGGGACGGAAGCTGTGCATCAGCTGTTCCCACCAGGAGCGTTTTCGATTTGTGTCTGTCTCCATTCTTGGACCAGCGTACCAAATTCACTGAAGATGACGAGGAAGCTCTGCCTGTGTGACTTCGCTTCACCAGTCTCGCTGTATATGGTATCTAGGATGGAAAGTGGAGAATACATCAGTGGTTGAAAGAACTAGGCCCAGGGGGGTGGAATTTTTTTTTATATATTTTTTTTTTTCTGCAAATAAACACTGTAAATCACATGGTAGTTCTTCTCTCATGGTAAAAAGCACATCTGAAGTAACACTAAATATATCGCAAAGCCACAAGTGTATGCAAAGTAGCAGGTGACTTAAGCAAACCTCAGATGTGGTTAGAAGAGTGCCTTCAGCCACCAAGTAGCACTAGTGTACCTCACTCTTCCACATCTTGAAATGGCCTGAGATACTGCGATCTGACTTATTATTTCTACTTTCCATAAAAGAAAAAAAAGCAGAAAAAAAAATAAAAAACACTTTCTGTGGCTTCATACAACATCTCTTCCCACTCTAAGAAGACATTTTATTTTCCTTCCTCATATTTTTACAATGCATTGCCTTCCTAGGCAACAGTAAGCTGACCCTTACTGGCTGAGTTCTGCAGACCTCTTGTGCATCTCCCTTCTTGTATGCCTGCTGGTCCCTAGGTGGACCAATGTAAAATTTTTTTCTTAATAGTTCCAAATGTGTGTGTGTGTTTTTTTTTAATTATTATTTTCATAGCACAAGACAGGAAAATTCACCCTCTGCATTTCAGCGCTTTAGAAGATGCTGTTAAATTATCCATTGCTTCCTAAGCACCTCGGTGCCACATATGTTTTCCACATTGCTATCTTTCAACCCATTTCTCATACTTAAAAATTACATGTAACTGTTTGGAAAATATCGTCTTTTGCCTGAAGTTTCTTTCATAAACTAAGGCTTGGAAAATTCAGATAAAGAGGGATATGAGGGACTCTCCAGAAGACACACAGCAGCCAGTTACAGGAAAGATATGAGATAATTGTCTGATCAGGATAATCACAGCTGCCTTTGTGGCATTTTGTCCTCGTTCTTGGCAATATTGGCAGTGGTACACATTCCACTTTCACTCATTCCTTTGGGGAAAAAAAAATGCTTACTGAAGCACCTTACAAAATTAATTCTCTTGGCTGAGGAGAAGAGAGGATGTGCTGAATTTTTCAACTGCTAGTTAATTCACCCAGTAAGCTGAGCTTCTATTGCTCTATCATGAAGTATGTATGAAGAAATACAATGGTAATGTTTGCTTATTTTCAAACAGCAAATATATATATATGCTTTATATAAACTTTTACATCCTCCTAAATTCTGGCAAGCTAAGAACATTGTCCTCAGTAACTGAAAAGAAGACACCTCGAACAGACAGATTAGATAAATGTACTTTTAAAGCTGACCCTAGGTGGTGGTAGAGGTTGATCACAGACCCAAGAGCATTCAAAATCTTTGTTTTCCAGCGAACTTTCTGACCAAGAATCTGAAATTAAATCCCTCATTTCACTTTGATCTAGAGGCACTGCTTTCATGTCCATCTGAAAGAGAAAAATAGTCTTATTACAGAGATAATAGATCTTAGAAACTTCCACTAACTGAAAAAAAAATTGGATTTACCTCGCGTAACAAGTAATTTTTGAAGTTATTCATATTTGCAAAAGAAATGGAAGAACAGCACTGGAAGATTTTGACACCTTCAATCTCCATAGCCTTTAAGACAAAAGTTGGATCTGTGAGAGTTGTACTTAGCAGGAGCCGTTTTTCCCCTCCTGACTCTGCAATAGACTGCAAAGTGCTATCCTAAGGACACAGTTTCTGGTAATGTTAACTACACCTCCCACAGGTAGTGGCACTGGCAACATGGACCTAATCATCAAAAACAAACCCGTTCCTCTTGTTGTTAAAAAAACGTACCTCCAGCAGCTCTATCACTGATGACAGTTGGCTGGTACAATATAAAACCAGCAAATTATTTTTAATATTGCTCACTGCAGAAAACACACACTATGTACTTGTCTTACTAACCTTGATTTTCTATTATTTGATCTTTGCAAATCCATCGGCATAACATTGTGCATGTACCCAGGTGGCAATGCTCTCTACTGCTGTATTGCCCAACTCTGTAGGGTGCAAGTCTTAGCAATAGTGTGTTAAAAAAGCCTGTGCCCTAGCTGTTATCCCATCACCACAAGGATCGGTGAGTCAGTCTAGCACATGCACAGCTGTTATTGTGAAAACAAACATAGCGTGGACAAAACCAGACTGAGAAAAGCAGGTCAGCATAAAATACCAAACAGCTCCGGAAATGACCGCAGTGTGGCTTCCACCACGGGGACAACACAGATTGACACAGGGAGCTTCACGGGGCGCAAGCAGGCTGAGCTAGGTACCTGAGTCACTTCGCTCTCCTGATATTTAAGCATTCTTTAGTTTCAAAGTTTGGAATCAAATGAACTGAGTCTGAATGGCCACCCCCAGGCAGTTAAGGGAAAAAGATGCATTGCAGAGAGAAATGGAACATTTGTTTTTTGTTTCCTCTTACAGCTCCGTAGACGGATAAACTTCTATAAATATTCGTGTTTGGAATCTGTCCCAGCTCCACCATCTTCATTCTGAAACAAGATGTTTATTAGGTTTTCACATACAGCAGAGAAAAACTGCATGTTCCTAAAAGCTTGATCTCCATTTCTCTCCTCTTCACTGGATATACCAACCCTAACTTTAGAGGGTGCAAATACAGCAAATTATTCACTCCCAAATAGCATTTGCTGAATAGGGGAGCAGCACACGAGCACACCCTTAAGGTATGCTGGTGCCTTCAAGAATGTATTATGTCCCATTTCTAGGTCTGGAACAATCGGATTATTGTTATTACACCAGGGAAGTGTGTTTGCTCTCCATCTTCCCACAGCCTTCCTCAAAGATACAGCTACACGTACAGCTGGAAGCAGTTGCAAGCTGTGCTTAGGGCTGGCTACACATGGGCTAGGTTGGTCCAGAGGCCATGCAGCAGCTTTAGTGCAGCATCTTGCCTCTAAGGAGAATACCTTGGGTTGGGAATTGTGCTTTGCTCATGGTGCTGCATGGATTTGGGGTGAGTTCTGGTCAGTTCTGTCTTCCTGCTCTCCAGTGACCAGCCAGCCAGCCACTTGTTAATTCCACCCATAACTCTGAGCAGAGGAATACTGGGAGTTTCAGACAACAAATTCTTCCTGAAAGTATTCTTTCAGAGCCACTCTGGATTGGTTTGATACTTGCAGGAACTGAGGCATTTCCTAGCTTTTTGCACTGTTATTCTAGAGGCTTCAGCCTACTCAGACAAGTACTTCCCTATCATGGTAAATATCGTGAGTTGTGGCTCGGATTTATAAATGATTTTCCTGGCTGGAATAGCAGCTAACACACTGAGCAATGTGGGCCCAGTGTAATCTCCCTCAGCTATGATAGATTAGGTTTATGGAGAAGATAGAGCAACTTGGTAAATGGCAATGAAGACTAAGGAATACATTTGAAATAAAGACACAACATCTCATTTTATCCTTCTGGAAGCACGTATGCAGATGCATGCATGCAGACCACACCTCCTGGCTGATGCCTACACTACAGGGAGCAGTTTCCAGTTGCATGGCACACCTGCAGAAAGGACCAATCCAGAGCCCGTGGACTTGACAAGATTATTGCTCTGGGATAGTATTAGAGACTCCAGGATGAGCTGACTGAAGTGTTTACAAACATGGAACTACTTTTCCATTGTCACATGCACAGCTATCTCCACAACATCAGCTCTCAGAAAAATTAGCATTTTGCTCTAGGAGTTACAAGTACCTGTGTGACCTAATGCCGATTATGAAGAACGCAAGTGCCAGGGCGATCACTAATCCCACATCAAGACCAAGACGAAGCACTGCAGCAAAAGTTCCAAGCCAAATAACCTTTGAACAAGAGACAGAGTGAACGTTAGCTGTAAAATCATATAAAAATGACCTCCAACTCAGGCCCAGCATTTGAAAATTGAAGGAAAAAAATAATCTTAGCAATACCTCTAGACCACCCCAGTCCTGGATGTCGTCACAAAGATCACAAGAAAAAGGTACAGGACTTCAAAATGCATAACTCAACTACAGTTATGGACAAGATGGACTGCCTGCTTTCCTTTGCCCTGCATTTGGGGATATGCAGTGGCTATACAGATGCCTCCACCACTCCAGTCTACCCTGAAGAACAAGGCAAATATCCAGGTGTGGCTGAAAAAATGGTGCTGAGAACTTCCCTCCTGATAAGCACTTTGTTCTTGAAAATACAAAACTGTATGGAGATCCCCTGATAAAGATTTGGTCTGATGATGCTGAAACCCTCAATCCAGACAGAAAGGACTGATTTCTAGCATGGCAAATAACAGAAACAGGTCTGGTAGAATTTTTTTTGATCCTTTCTATCATCAAGTTCAGTGTTGGCTAAGCCTTCACAATCCTTAGAACCCACAAGCTACAAATCTTATGCACAGCTCAAATCTCCTGATTTTTTTAACAGGGCTTCAATAATTAAGAGGAGTCATATCATCCTGGGGGCCTTTCTCTTAATGAGAAATCCGGAACAAGAGTTAACATATTCCCAACTGACAGCTAGACAATTTCCTTCTCAGGGGATCTGGGAAACAACTACAATGACCAGTTCTCCCTGTATAGAATTGCAAATTGATCTGTAGAGATTTCAGCACAATTCTTTCAGTGGGTATTTCAAAGGATCCCTCTTCTAAGAGAATGGCCACTGCTTTGCCTTGCCATCCCAAAACATGCATTTCTCCTTTTAAGGCACATTGCAATTCTTAGGTGGTTTTGTTTGTTTGTTTGTTTGTTTGCTACTTACTAAATGATACTTATCCTGTCTCCACAGAGTGGGGATGTCCAGAAATTTTTGAAGAAAAGGTAGCATATTAAATACCACAATAGCAGCCAGTACACCCTGTACAAACAAGAATAAAAAAAAATCCATCTGATATTTATTGCATCCGCAACGTGCTAAGGAACAGATATCCAAGACAAACTGCTCAGAATTTAAATCTTATTTCCATAATTTTTACATATCTCCTCTGATCTGCAAAGCAACATGAAAGTAGCATGCAACTTCTTTGACTTCACAATTACTTTTGCCAATATAACTGGACTTCCTCTTGAAATGCTGTATGTAGTTTCCATTACAATATTCTTCAGTGAATCCCTATGCCTCCTACAGCACTAGGATAAATGCCAACACTATCTACAGAATTAAGAGCTGCTGTTTCGAAAAGTGGTTTCAATTAGCATGGGCAGTGCACTGCCAAATTTAGGAAGTTGTTTGACACCATTTATTGAAACAGCCCTTCCTAGAAATGAAAAGGAGATTGAAGGGAAGTAGATGTTTAAATTCTGTTTTGTCAGCTAGTTTTGGGAAGGGGATTAATTCTCCCATCTCACAAAGAGGCCAGGAAAAAAAATCAGGAAGTAATGCTCTATGTCAGTTGTTCTCTAAAACAACTTAAAGGAAAAAAAAAAAAAATAGTCTAGATAAAAATTTTAAGAGAGAAGTAAAAAATTGAGTCCTCTAAGCAATCTGCAGCAATAAATGTTTGCAGCAAAAAATGCATAAGAGATAGTTTGGTAGTGCATATAGTTTTAAAATAAACCTCAGTGACCAAGCTAGAATCAGAGACACTAAACCCATATTCCTATTTCTGAAGATTTTATTTACCTCTTTACACTAAAGATTTTGAAGCAGAAATTACTTATACAGATGCAAGACAGGAGCTCATTAATGTGTTATACAGTTGTGCAAAAAAGCTTGGAAGATGGGAAACTATAAGTGAAATACATCTAAATCACACACCCTGGCAGTGACATTTGAATGCTTTTAGCCAAGCAATTTTAGCTTGTTCTGAACAGTCAGAGATGGGAGAGAGATGCATTGTTTATTATCCAGTGTTTCAGCCTGCTGAAATTTAGGAGAGTTTAAAGTCATTGTTTTGGTTTGGTCTGCCCATGAAAACAATTAACTCTAGAGAATGATATAACCCTGACTGTCTAGGAAATCTTCATATTATGCTTAGAAAGTAAGTATGCTGCTACCATAACTATTTCACTGTTCACTTACATTAGGAATCATCTGGAAAAAGTATCCTAGTTTCAGTGCAATCACCAGCATTATAGTTGCTCCAATCATTGCTGCTAACTGAACAGAAATACTTTATTAGAGATGCCTTCCAGAAACATTTCCTTACTTGTCCCCTCTACACAAGTAGGTATGCTCCATGTAACAGCACCCACTAGGAAAAATAACCAGGGGACAATTAACAAAGTCCACAGGTGTGCTGTAATGGATTATACAAATTGCAGAATACTCAAGTTTTCAGTAGATATAAATTTGGCCTAAACGGACTATTCTTATGCACAAGAATGCAGGATTTTGATTTGATAACTTCATCTGAGAAATAAGATACTTCTCATGCAAGTCAGCCTTAGGAACAAGCTTTTTATTAAACAAAATTACTTCTGTGATGCAGTGAGTCATGTACAAATATTCAATTAAGAGGTATGATAAAAATATTATTATAAATTATAATTATATTTTAAGCCCTCCTTAAAAATATTAAGATCACAAAGTACTCGAAAGTTAGGAAGAAGTGGCAGAATTAAGGGTGCCTAAACAATTTTCCATTTGTCTTTTTGGACATATTAACTAAAATACAATTTCAAACTGTATGAAGACATCTTATTCTCCCTACAGAATTCTGGCTTCCTTCAGTAGACATCACATGCTGTAAATACCACATAATTACAGTACACAACATACACAGAGAGGGCATGTGAATTCATGTTGCAAGGGGAATATAACTTTACATCTCACCAATTGTCTGGGCGAAATGTCAGTCTACAATCAATATACAGTGATTTTAGATGAGTGTAGAAGCTTTACAAATCCAGCCCAGCTCACCTGTGTTCTTCCACCTGTCTTCTCTTGAATGACAGTTCCAGAAATAGCACAGCTGATAGCAAAGCTTTTGAAAAATGAGCTGCAAATATTGCATAGCCCCACGACTATTAGTTCCTGTAAAACAGAAATATAAGGAAGCAGAGAAAACCCCAAAATGAATGACTTACCTAAATAGAAGTGGCTTAACAAGAAGTATATTTCCTTCTGCTCACACTAGCTGGTTGCTCAGCCCAGAAAACCTTCTGGAAAACAAGGTCTCCCGTGATGAAATGAGTTCTCTTAAAAGGTACAAAGTTTTCATAGCAGAGGATCTCATGGACCCAAGACTCTAGTTGTTATTTATAAAGAAATCCACTTAGAACCCCACAGTTTCCAGGCTAACGCATGGCAAATTTCAGTACATCTGAACAAAATCTCTCAGACTCTCAGAGCAAAAGACTCTTGGAGCAATCACTCTGGGCAGAGGAACCCATACATTAGGACAATAGCCACCTACAGAGAGCCATAGCAGCTCTGGCCATTTCCAATTTCAGTTAATCACGTTGTGTGCTTTTATAAATCTCATGGATTCACAACAGCAATGGTCCTCCGGGTTCATTAGCAGCAGTGTGTGTCTGCTGGCAGGCAGGTCATCCAAACCACTGAGGTTATGCCAAAGCCTCTTGCTAAAAGATGGCCAATAATGTGGATTTCATATATGTGCAGCAGCCACCCCTCTATAGGGAAGGGCAATGAGTTGCTACAAAACCATCAGGTGGCATATTCACTCCATCCTTGCATTTCTACCACTGTCAGGTAACTAGCGGCTTTACTAGCCTGAATTCAGCTTGCTCCTTAGCCTAGGAAGTATGTGCAGCTTTGTCCTCACCTGACTGCTGGAAATACTGTAGTTGTGAAGCGAAGCATACCTCTCTCCAATAAAGACAAGAAGGAAGCAGCTTACAATAGCAAGGGAGAAAGCAGGCATTATGATCTTGCTCAGGTTTGGTAAATCTGGCATTGTAGGAGGCAGAAGCCTACAGGATCAGAGAACAGGTAAGTTTAAACCTGGTCTGGGCTCTATGCACAAGCCATATGCAGGACCAACACCAGAGGCATCATCTAGCACCTTACAGGAGATGCTCTGAACATGTAAGACTCTTTGCTTCCACCTCACAAAAAATACAAATTTATTCTTTTGTGTCTAACAAAACCTGAATAAAGACTGTAGTTTGAATTCTGCATATGTTCTGAGATGATGATGCAATTAAATCTCTTGGAGAATTATTCCTAAAACTGTCCTGCCCAGTAATAATCAGCCTGTCAGATTTCAAGAACAGACTGAAACATCCTTTCATATCTCAAAAGTATAACCCCGTGAACAGGACAGATAACTAACCTCTGAGGAATCTTACTGACCACAGCACTACTAGATTCAGCGTAAACATGAATGCGATTGGAAATAATGGTGCCTGTGATGATCTGGGAAAGAAAACAAGAAATAATATCAGGGATTATACAGCATTTGCTCCTGGTGCTGTACACCATAGATCTAAAGACAGTTAATCTTGAGGAGTGTTTAAAGGACTTAAGCACAGATTTTTTCAGTGTGTAAACATAACAGCATCCTGAAGTAATGTTAATGTATTTTTTTATAATAAAGTGTGTTATATTAATACTTCCTAGCCATGTGCTAATGCCTACAGTGTAGTAATGTCTGACATATCCCACATAAAACACGGACTTTTTTTCTTAGTCCAAATCATTCTTTTACTCCTATTAACCTTTCTGAACATTCAGAAATACTTTTTTTTTTTTTTTTCTGATAAAGAACTTGCTGTCTGTAATGTTATGCTCTGCCACAGGTGGTGTCCCACAGGCCCCTGTTGGGCAAGTGGCAAATGGCTTCAACTCCAGTGTCAGCAAGGTGGGACTCTTGGTAGCTGCTTTTTCTATGGAATAAGCTATCTTTTAGATTTCTAGATTATCCATAAAAGTCAGAATTTTCATTTCAATAGAAAGTTTGGATTAAAAAAAATCATCTGTTTTCCAGGAAAGAGAAAAGTGGAGAAAACAGCAGCAACAAATATTGCAGAATTTACAGCAAGAACTGCTTTTGAATGTCACAAAATTGAATATCCCTTTCCAACAATTCCAGACCAAAAAAGAAGCATAGTTAGATCAAGACTCTGAAGCTTCGAGTTCATGGTTCTAGTCTCCAATAAAGATAAGAATTAACATTCAGAGTCCTGAACTGGGTTTCCATGGTGGTTTCATCCTATACACTGCTTTTTATTCATGTAGCAATTTACTGTGACTTGTTCTCATGGCCTTTTGTGAGCAGGGATTATTTTCACAGTAGCTTATTTTCACAGGAAATAAATAAAAAGTAAGTAAAATAAAAAGTAAATAAAGTAAATAAAGCTTATTTTCACAGTAGCAGGGAAGAACGAAGAAGTTCATTGCTGAAATCCACCCCACAAATCAATGACAAAGGCTGTTTGTGGTAGTCAGCCCCACAACACCATCTCAGACAGGTCATTCCTGAACTGTTCATTCAGTTATCACGATGGCATTATGGAGAACACTTACCAAGAGAAGTTCCATAGGAAATGCAATTGGATTACGTTTATAAGTTATGCTGATGTATTTACTGATCCATAGCACGGGCAAGCTAAGTGAAAACAGCAATGTGCTGGTGGCATTAGCCTTTGGGAGAGCCCGGAAGTAATGAAATATATCCTGAAAAGGAATCATCATACAGAGGATCAGAGGCAGACACTCCAACTATTTTTATATTCTAGAAGATTGACACACATTGCCTGGACAACTGAACCCATCCTTTTGGCTATGAAACTTATCTCCAGTGAGAGGAGAGAGATGCTAAGAGCAAAATATTATTTAAAATGAACTATTGGTATCCGCAGAGAAAAAGCTGCCACAAGTAACTCAGATCTAGTTTGATCCTTCCTCTCTCTTCTACACCACCTTTCTCTGACATTAGTAAAATAAATTAGGAAGACTTAGCATTAACTTGTCTTTGAGTCTGCTGCTTTTTTGTAAGACATGACAAAGACACTGTGTGTCCAAAGGTTGCCCACAATGGTCAACTGAGGGAAAAAAAGTACCTTTTCCTCTATGACATGCTCTGCTATGAATATAGACATGCTAAAAATTATAACGTTACATAAATAATTAAAGATACACACGGATTTTTCATCTTGCATGTCGCACAATAATCTCCATACACTGTTCAAGACAACAGGAAGGAAAGTAAACCACAGCTGAGACTTGCACAGATATCCCTTAGCAACTGACTTATTCTGAAATTGCCTTCCATTTCTGCAACTGTTCTTTTTTTTTCTTTTTTTTTTTTCTTCCCTACAAGAAACATGCATTTCTTTGACTAATAATGAATTCACTTACGCAGAAAATGTCTCGGGGGCCCTTATGGAAGTCAAGCATGACACCAAAGATAAAGATGAACTGGGATACAATGACGTGCAGTGCTGCTGCAGTGAGGTAAGCATCAACGAGAGTCTTTGGCAAATATTTTGTTACAGACCCCAGGCAGAAGCAGCCTAGCAGCAACTGTATGGAACAAACGAGAAGTGAGATGCAATATAATTAGCTATGTCTAACCCGCCCTTCTTGTTTCTGTATTTGAAGAGCATGACTCTTCACTGCCATGCATGATGGATAGTTATTTGAACGTGCTATATTCATTATGCACAATTAAGACACTGCCCAAACAAAACAGGAGTACTTTATATCAAGTGTGGGCAGTTATGTAGGACTACCTAAGGGTCTACATACTGGAGAACTGGTCAACACAAAGGATAATAGCTTACTTCACACATAGATGTATTTATCATCGACACATAAATCTGAACCTATCACATCTTCAGACATCCCGAGAGGAAGAGGCAGACCTTCACGTCCCAGTTTGTACAACTCAAATGTGCTGAGCTTAGTATTTGTGGTAAGAACATGCAAGCAGTTCCACTTCTCACATTTGTACAGAGAACACACATAAGGATACATCGTTAAGGATATAAAATAGATTCATCTTCTACCTGAATGATGCCAGTCAAAAACGTTACTGATGCAGTAAGTGTCAAGGCCTCCATTTGATCTTCCGTAAGTGTAGGGTCTGAGAAATTGTCCACTGAACCATTAAAGGACAGAGTTTGGTTGAAATTAAAAGACTTCAGAATGTTTTTCACCACCAGATTTAGGATGCTGAATGAGCCTGGGACCAACAGAACAAAGAGAAGAAAATGGAACTGCATGAGATGTTGCAACAAGGATTCATCTTAAAAGCACACAGACATCTCTTCACCCCCCCATCAGTCTGTACAGTGTGAGACTGTCTATTTTCACTCATACATGTAATCTTATTCATATATATTTTAATGTTTCTGAATAAGTACCTAAAGTTTCCAAAGTCCCATCCGAAAATTTCAGACTCCTACAATTTTACAAACAGCCTTTGTTTGATCAGATGCACAACAAAAAGATTTGAATGTAGAGCACAAAAATGGATGCATTGCAATGAACTGCCATGAAATCACAGAATTACAGAATGGTTTGGGTTGGAAGGGACTTTAAAGATCATCTCATTCCAACCCCCTGCCACTGGCAGGGACACTTCCAAGTCCAAAAAATACAGTCAGTCTGAGAAAGAACTGCCAAAGAGGCCAGAACTCCATGCGTCTACTTTTTATCATAAACACATCAACAGAATTTTAATAATCTGGTTTCTGAACAAATTAAAAATGTAAAACCATCAACAGCTCGGTCATAGCAAGAATCTACAAGACCCCTGGAGAAGACCAGGAGCTAAATCATGAATCACAGGCACATCCTGAGGGTAAATGGGAAGCTGCTTGTGCTGGCCCTTTACTTGATGTAGGAGACGCCTCCATTGACATTCCAGCTGTCTCCTTTGCTGTGATGTCTGTGACACAGGAGCTGTGTCCTCAGGGGGACAGGGCGCCTCACGGCTGCGACTGGACTGACTTCCTGAAATTCTCACCACAGATCAGCTGCAGAGGGGTGGAACAATGAATTGAGAATCTCTGGCTCTGGATTCTCACCTAAATAACATCTGCATTTTAGATGAAATAGATTAGGACATCCTGGCTGGCTTTCTGAAGCAGTATTGAACACAATCTCTACGTCCTGTAGAAACATTTTGCAGTACAAAATAAACCTCACCTACTGAGATGTGATGCGAGGTCCCAAATATAACATATAGCATTGAGCAGCAGAACGTGGAAAGGAAGCAATTGAACATTGGCAGAGGTAACCTGGTCAGCCAAATTCCCAACAGCCCTAGAAAGCAAAAATGTAAGTATCTAACAGACCTGATTTTGCAAGGTGGATTTTAAAAACTGTGTTATGTTGTTTGCAATACAGGAAAATGCTGTTATTAGTCTATATTTTGATTTAGTTTGAGGAAGACTTTATGAAAAGAGGCAGTGTCCTTTCCTTGAAATTACACTGTGTAATAGATTATAGAACATACACCTGCTTGCAAATGTGCAAACAAGTAGGCTAATTATTTAGGGAACTTGTAAATTAAAGTTCCCACATAATCCGATGACATCTGGAAGAACAGAATTGACGTACAGGCGGTAGATTATGAAAAGGCTGACGTAGGAAAGGAAGCAGAAGTGTTTTTTTTCTCTCTGCCTACCTTGAGGAATCTGAAAAATCCCAATATTTAGGCCTGCATGCAGGTCCCTCAAGATCCATTCTCTGAACTGATACGAAAAAAGCCAATTCAGGACAGGGAACATCTTGCGAATTAACTTTCTGAACCTTTCCTTGGAGAATCTGAAAAGAAAATCAAATAAGCTGAGCGATATGCAATGCCTTTTACAACCTCCACGCTCTGCAGCCTTTTTGCATGACCTCACACTGTGCAGGCACAGAAGCCACGCTGCTACCGTCAGCTCTCCGCAGGCACCCTACGCTGCGAACCCACACCAGCATTAGCCTTCCCCAGATCCAGCTGGCGCATAGCGTGAGTCCCACATAGGCACCCCTGTGCCTTTGCATTCCATTCGGATGAATCGCAAATAGTCCGTGTGCCATTCGTATGACACCCTGCCAGCGCCACAGCACCGAACGCATCAATTACTTGACCTCATTAACACCGCGGAAAAATAGGAGGTGGTAATTTGATCGCTCCTATTCTGATCAAAAAAAAAAACAAACAAACCCACAAACATACAAATGCTGCATCTGGAGGGAAAAAAAAAAAAAAAGAAAAGCCTATCCCACATCCAAAAAAAAAAAAAACAGTAACAAGTTTCCTGTATTACATTACTTAGCACGGGGATACAAGCAGGACTTGACCTGGATGACTTATTTTGCCTACACAACTTTGAATCAAAATTTCCAGTAGGTAAACTCTGACTAACCCCCGAGTCCTGTGCTCCTCCTTCCCCTTTTTAATCCCCTGGCCATATTGGTGATTTTCTACTTACAAACCAAATCTAAGCGATGCACAAGGCTTCTGCAACCTTGAGCAGTGGCTGGGGAGACTGAGCCCCAGAGAATATTACAGAGCTGAGTCCCTTCCCATCGTGTTATTGTCCAAGGTGCCCATATGCTGGGCTGCCCAGTGAATACAAAATAGAGAACAGAGAAAACACAAGAGATAGGGAAGTGGAAAAGAAACAGGGAAAACAGCATGAGGAAGCAAGAAAGACATGATTCTGAAATGAGGAGTTGGGGGAGGGAATAAAGACATTTTCTTATTACGCAGCAAGTGCAGTGATAAAGTTTCCAATAATAACAGCCGTGACTTTAAAGTATAATTCTTCTTTCAACATCTGGGCAAGACTTATTTTATTGCAGCAGGCATTTCTGGGTGGGCAGACTTAACTCTAGATCACGTCATAATTATACACAATTCAAGCCTTTCCAGCAAGTAATTTTGTTTTTCTGACTGCAGATCTTTATCCAATCTCCCTCTTAATTTTTTATTTTTTTTTAATATATGAAAAGACAGTGCCGGGATGGATGGCTATTGCACAGTCTAAATGATCTCACTATTACAGAAATTAATCAATGGCACTTTTTCAAGGTGAAATGGAAAACTAGAAAGCTCAGAAGTGAGTCAAACTATGGTTCCATTTGCCTTCACTTACCACCAGGAAATTACAAAGGTTTAAGTAAAACAGGATCCACAGTTTTAGGCTGCAGTCGCCCACGTTGCTGAGCTGATGTAAGAGCTGGCTATACAAAAAGAGGGAAGTCTGGCTCCCCTACTCTCCTTTTCCCTGTGTGTCCTGTCCCACCTGGCAGCAGCAAGCTGCTAGATTAGCTCACCACACCTTGTGGAACCTCACCCATAGCTAGACTTGAGTCTCAGGTCCTGTCACGGTCCCAAAATAACAGTCTGAGTTTCAGTATACATTCAGTTTACATGCTGAAACAAAGCTCAGATAAATGATGAATCAGAGATTTTATATTTACTTTCTTATAAGGACTTTGTAGAGTAGACACAGTCATAACCATTGACAGTCCTCTCCATATCCAAAGAGAGATTCAGTCAGAAAACCAAGAGCATTCACGGTCAAACAAAACTAAAAGGGACGCTGATGAAAGGGCTTCCTATTTTTGATTTTATTTGCCTTGCTGGAAGAACACCAGGAATTCTCCTAAGTTGCCAACAAAGCCTGCCTTCTAGTGAGCCTACAGGGCTCCTCTGGCAGAAGAAATGCTTCTATCCCTGGTATAATGACCAAAAGAGAATTTTGGCAGATGGGAAAATCAGGCTGTGGAAGCATTAGTGCTGTATAGGCAGTACATTTGCCTCATTCTCCTTGAATAATGTAGGACCATAGCTCCAAAATGATGCAAAAGCAGTTTGGTCAATCTCAGGCATACCATTATGCAACTTTCCATGTCCCCAGCTAAGAAGGAACAGAAAATGGGTCTTGAAATGTAAGAAATAGGAGCAAAGAAATTGCACAAATCAGAAAAAAAAAATAAAAAAAAAAATTGAAAGCTTGTGTCTGACAGGTGGACTGAGGGGACTACAACTATCAACAGTTTCCCTTTACAATGCATATATCCTTCACGTTATCGTAGTCCCGAAGTGAACAAACACTTCTGCAGATTGCAAATCAGCAGCTTTGGTAGTGGGGTGCTAAGCTGTTTGCGTGCTTTGGGTACTGAGTTCTGTAACTGGGTGATCTGCTTCAGTTATCAATCAGTTTGGTATTTTAATCAGAAGCTGTGGGAAAGTCAGCACCTCTTTTACATTTGGGATTGAAGAGTCTCCTCCATTTCTTTACCCCTGTCCATTTCATGGCATAGAGCTCACCTGCAATGTAGCCGTCTGTTCTGTTGAGGGGTTTGTGGTTCTCCATGCAAGCTGGAAGGCAGGTTTCTTTCCAAGAATGCTTCAAACTGCTTCTCTGTCTTAATTTTTTTGGGGGCCCTGTAAACTGCTGATTGCCTGCAAGTGCGGACAGTGTCATTGTCTAACTCCATGTTGTTTTTTTCTGATCACAATGAAAAACCGAGGAACAGCAAATACTGGAGACGACAATGAAAGCTCTCGTTCTTTGCAGTGAGACTGGAATAAAGAAACAAGGTGATTGACTGAAATATCTATTAAAACCAAAACCAACAAAAAGCATAATATGTCGTCAATCCACCCCAACATAATTCCCATGAAGATAACAGCAGGGATAAGCAAGGCTCTGGAGGCTGACACCCATGACAGACACGCTGCTTTTAATATCAAGCAAATCAATTCCCAGTTGTAGGAACACCAGGGCCTTCTGGAATTTGCCATATTCCTGCTCTGTAGGGAGGACCAGCCTGGATCCCCTCCATTATGTGATCCCAAAAGCAGGCCCGTGTTAAGGGAACTGAATGCAATCTCTCTCCATAAACCTACCACAGCTAAGGAAACCATCTAAATTTTCCTTTTTTTTCCATGCTGGAGGAAAAAGGCTTAGTTTGAATCGTACAGAGAGCTGCTAAATCTGAGGGCACACAAATGCCACAACTTGCTGTGTAAAATGGGTATCTGATACCCTTCAGGTTTTTAAATGCCCAAAACATCTGACTCACGTTCCTGAGCTTTTTAATATCTGGAAGGAGATCTGAATTCAATCACTATAACTCAGAGTAGGCAAGATGTGAGTTCCCAAAGCGCATACTGAGTAAGCAAAGGTCCAGTGCAAGAGCAGAGCTAAGATACTCTAAAGTTCTCATACTGACAGCTGAGGCAGAATAAAAATTCAAATCCAGAGCTACCAAGTGAAAGTACAGAGCCTACATACGAGAAAGGTGGTGGCAAGCAGGAACGTATTTTGTGGCTATGGGCAGAAGAAAGAAGGAAAAGAGGATGCACTGAGCGAGCAGTAAGTCTTGTCAGAATGCAGACTCACTTTAAAGTACCCAAACATAAAAAAAAAATAATAAAAAAATATCATTGGGATTTAAGCTTTCGCCTCATATTTCATTTCCTGAACTGCCAGGATCAGTTTGTACAGGTTTAGTACTTTGCATCATTGAGATATGTGACTTCTGATACAGCTCCAGGCACCCTGACACAGTATTTACTGTCTTGTAAGACATATCCACCAACACGTCCGCACACCCATCATCCTAAACCACAGAAACAGCTGGCTGTAGGCAAGTCTCAAACCATCTCCAGGGCACAATTTCTTCCTCTTTTTAAAGCGGAGATAAATCAAGATCTTCCACAGATGAGTTTAGATCTTCCAAACCAGTACAAGCTCTCGAAGCCTTAGCTGTTTATGACATCTTTGAGCACCATCACCTTTTCAAGGTCAGGTAACGCAACAAACAAAACTAACAAGAAGCTAGAGATCACAAATTAAAGGTGTTAAACCCCTCAGCATGTTAGGAAGTAGTTACTTTTTAGATGCAAGCAAGGGTAAATGTTAAGTGTAGCTCATTCCTATTATTTAGACCTCTGTGAGGACTCCCAGCAGCAGAGGACAGTGTCCCACTCTGGTGGGCTGTGTGGACAATCCTATTTTTGACACAGAAGCCAGTATTTTAAAAGTGGCCTTCCATATTCCATTCCCAATGTGCCTGTCTTGTCCTGCTAATAAGACTCAAGCCTGCAACTGCGCAGCAAGCGGCCCTAATCCCTAAACCCCACACTATTTATTTGCTGGGACGTCCTGTACTTACTACCTAGCGAAGACACTTTGGGCTCCACTTCAAACCCTGCTTAACCTGCAGCACTCGAGGGTTTCACTTGGTTTAAGTACATACTTGAAGCACATACGTATCTTTGGTACTGCCAGGCCTCTTACAGCGCTGGGAAATAGCGTGTTCTCTAAGCAGACACAGAAAGATAGGGAAATATATGGGGAAATCTGGGTGGATCAGCTTAGCTCTCTTCATCCCTGCTGGCGTGAAGCCCTCCTGAGGGAACAAAGTGTCCTCAGGAAGTTCACCAACGCTAATTAATTAATTAGAACCAACACACACAGCTCCAGAAGCACACGAGGTACACCTCGCAGGCCAACTCAGGCCCGCACAACTGCTGCTTTCACTCATTTTTTTCACACATTTTCCTTTATTTTCCCTCCAAGCGCCCCCTCGGGCTCCGTGACCCCACACAGGCGAGCGCACCACACGAGGCACCGCCTCGCTCCCCCCCCCCCGCCTCGCTCCCCCCCCCCCGCCTCCGCCATGTCGCGGCGGCTTCCTCCCCTCACAGCCCTTCTGGGGCCGCCGTCGCGACCGGGGCCGCTCTCGCGATAGCTCCGAGTCGGCTCCATATTGGGGCATCTCCGCCCGGAGCCGGGGCTGGGGTCGGGGTCGGGACAGCGGGGGCCGGGAGGCGGCGGCGGGGGTCGGGGCTGTGCCCAGCCCGGGCTGCGCCGCTCGGGGGCCGGCTCCCGTCCCCTGGCGGCTCCCCGGGGTTCTCGCACCCCGCAGGGCTCGGCGGAGGAGGGGAGAAGGAGAACGAGGGGAGGCGGTGACAGGGCTGCGAGGTGGGAGGAGAGGGGAGGAGGAGAAGGAGAAGGGGAAGGCGAGGGGAAGGCGAGGGGAGGAGAAGAAGCCGCTGAGGGAAGCGGGGGGAGCGGGCGGGGCGGCGGCCAACGGTCGGCGGCGTGAGGGGACGGCGCTGCTGCCGCCTGCGGGAGGAGAGGAGAGGAGGAAGAGGAGGAAGGGAGGAAGGAAGGAGGGAGCTGCTGCTGCTGCTACTGCTCCTACTGCTGCTGCTGCTGCTGCTGGACGTGGTGGTGGTGCCCCGGGCAGAGCCTCCCCCTCCCGCCGGGCCGGGCGGGGCGGGCTCCGCGGCCGCGATGTCTCAGGAGCGGCCCAAGTTTTACCGGCAGGAGCTGAACAAGACGGTGTGGGAGGTGCCCGAGCGCTACCAGAACCTCTCCCCGGTCGGCTCCGGGGCCTACGGCTCCGTCTGGTGAGTGCTGAGGTGGGGGACAAGGGGGCCGACACCCCCCCCCCCCCGGGGGTGCTCCTCTCCCACTCCCGGCTTTCCTCCTCCGCCGTTTTTTTGTTTTTTCTCCCCCCCCCCCCTCGGTTTAACAGCGGAACCGCCGAGAAGCCAACGTCTCGCCTTTGGAATGCGCCGGGGATTGCACCACATGGCAGGTGGCACTAAAACAGATATTTTTTTTTTTCTGCAGGGGAAAGATAATCACAGCCCAGCCCCCCCCCCCCCCCCCCCTCTCCTCAGCGAGCTCCCACGGGCACGTTTCCCCCCCTGCCTTCCCCCAGCTCCTGGCAGGGGGAGGAGGGGATGGAGCCTGGCAGAGGCTTTGCAGAGCCTGGCAGGGCCCCTGTCGCTTTGCAGAGCCCGCCAGCTCTCGTCCTGGTTCCCTTCAGGCCCCGCTTTCTTGCAGGATGCATTCACGCTCCAGGCCCCTGCACCGTGAGCTGGAAGCTGCTGGTGGAGGGGAGGCTGCGGGGGCCCTGTGCCCAGCCCCGGCTTCCTAACAGCGTTGTTTGGTTTGCAATATTAGGTCAAGGCAGGAGAGGTTGTTTTCGTGCTCAGTGACTGAGTTGCTGCAGTGTGCAGCCTGGAAGAGCGGCGTCCGGGTGTCAGGGCTGCAGCGCTCAGCAGGGCTTGCAGCTCCCGGCGTAGCCTTTAATGCTTACCTAATATGAACACATGCCTCGGTTGTAGTTCCTCTGCTGAAACATGTTGGATCATTAAATGTGAATCAACTTGGCCGCGTACTTCGTTTCAGCTGAAAGACAAGGTCGTGTCTGAATCAGGGTGGCGGTTAGGCTTTAGCAGCCCAGGAGAGGTGTGTGTGTTAGCAGATTGCTGTGTCCTTTTACTAAGGGATTTTGACACCGTGAGCGTGCTGCTTTTCATTCTCTGTCCTTTGGCGCCGTCAGAGTGCGATCAGAGTTTCCTAATAGGAGTGCATAATGGCTATACGTCTGCTGTGCTGCTGTATTGGAGCAGGCGCGCCTATTTTTCATTAACATAATGTGCAAATTCATATCATTTATGTTTTAAGGATTGATGCATACTGGCCTCTGGTAATAAAAAAAAGAGTTGCTTTGCATGTGCTGCAATTTTTGAAGAAGTGAAGTGCTCTGCTGCTCTTTAGCTAGCTGTTAAAAATTGTCAGGAAGCTCTGCTTAAATCACATGCAATTCTTAGAGCTGCTGTGCCCTGAGTATATTAAGTGCCTATATGCCACAAAAGGCAAAGGCTAAGCACTGTCATTTCTGAGTTTTTTTATGTTTGAAGGGTTTAGATCTGGTGAAAGAAAGGCCGAGGCGATAAATACCCCTTTAAGTGCCACAGTTACATAACTCCCCGAGTGCAGTCGGAAATGGATTTGCTCAGTGCCTTGGCCATTGTACTGAGGCTGGCCCTCCACGGGCAGCCCGTTCCCCTTCAGCTTTCCCCCTCCTCACAATCTCCATTGTGTGCGTAACACTTCCAATGTTTGTTTTCACAACCAATAACCGAAGAGTTTGCATCATGAATTTCCTGTTTTGCTGTGTCAAAACTTTCAAAGATTGTGCAATTGTGTTCAGCCCCGATGAAACAATTTGGTATTGGAAGCAGTCGCAGACGTGTGGCACATGAGCCTCAGTGCAGTCCCTGTTAATGGTTTTCTTTGCATTCTCCTGAAAACGTGCTTCAGAAAAGACACTATTCAGGAAGACCAGTAATATAGAAAGTATGTCCGGATTAAAAAAAAAAAAAAAAGCCATGCATATATAATTCTCTTTGATCTGTAATGTTGTTAAGCTGCAACCGGTGATGCATAGTATTTAGGATGTTCCTACAATGACTTGCTCCACTCTCTGTTCCTTTACAGATTTTTCTCCCTCCCCCTCCTGCGCCAGGAATAAGTTACCAGTTTTATTTCAGACTTGGACTTTGGAGTACCTCTGTATTGGGACAGGAAATTGTGGGTTTTTAACCACCCTTTGACTGGTTAAATATACTCCTGTATCTATCTGCCTACAGCATTATTATATTAGAATGAGATGCTTTGTTGTTTACTTAGTTGGCAAGATGAGGGATTTCAAAATGAGGTAATTCTGCAGAGTGGAATAAAAAATAAATAAATAAAGGAATAAAGCCAGCAAATGAATCATTTAGATTATGGAGTATCTGCTGTAGGCTACTTCAAATGTCTGATGTAAGTACAACTCTGAATACTCGATTTTTCTTATTTATTTTTATATTGGGGTATTCTGAGATGACTTTACTTGTGAAGTCAGTGGATGGAGAAAGGCATTTTGTGCTGGCAGTTTAAGGCAGCCAAAGCACACGTGTAAAGTTAGAGCAAATATTCTAGTGTTTTCTGGAATCCTGTGTGCAGTACTGGGAGAAGGACGCTCAAACATCCCACTCAAGTATTTTTTCAGTTTAGAAAAACTGAAAATGTAAGGAGCTGCAAGTAGGGATTCAGCAGTGCCAAGCCGTCGAGAAGCGTGCCGTGTGTGCTCGGGTTGTTCGTTCCGAAGTCACGTAACAATTGCAATGACATCTGTTGTGTGAAATGATATTTCATTTGTTCCTGCCACCGTTCTGTGTTTTCGTGCAGCGCAGCCTCTTGCATGGAAAGGGTTTGGTCAAAACCCGTAACGAGGTCTGCGCTAAAGCCCGTGGGCTCCCGAAACACGGGTCAGTACACCTGGTGTAAGGAAAAGGAGGGGTGTAGGTGGCTGGCTGGTGCAGGAGGCTGCAGGATGGGGACAGGATCGATGGGTGACTCAGTGGTGCTGGAGGCTCGCTGCGCCTCTCGTCTGTGCCGGGGGAAGGCTCTGCAAGAGGCTGCAGTTCAGCTGGTTCTGAGCTAAGCAAGCAGGTGTTCTGGTGCTCTTTGCCATCAGCTTCTGAAACATGAAAGCAGATTTGGTGTGATCCCTGAAGTTTATTTTATTCCTTATGTGTTGTGTTTTTTTTGACAGTTATTTGTGTGTCACGTTGGTACGTATGCACAATAAGGCTTCTGGTTTAATTGCTTTGCAGGCTCTCTGTGTTACCTTATTTCCTTTGGAAAGGAATTGCACAGCTGAGACTCACTCCTCCTCAGGAGCTTGCATAAAAGTCTTCCAGCCTTTCTTGTTCGTAAGCTGCCAGGCTGTGTAGCTGTTCTCCCCCTCTCTCTGCAGTTTTACCAGCACTGACTCTGAATTTCCTGGGTATCAGGAAGACCCTGATATAATTCCCATACCTTTAAACTAATGGAAAAATACTGTGGGTTTAAGACATTTTAAAACATCAGACTCCAGAGGAAACAAATAAACCTTAACCGTCCCCTTTGCAGCAGTTCTGTGTACTTTTTTTTTTTAACCAATGTGTGTCTTTAGGCTTAGTAATCCCTTATCGAGGTGTGCAGGTGCCTCCGAAGTACGTGTGCGCCCTGGGGAAGTGCCTGCGAGGCGTGGTGGAGACGTGAGCAGTGGTTTGCAGGGAGTGGGATGGAGCAGCCACGCAGGTGGCGGTAGCAGGACACACGTGAGGAGGGATCGTGTGGGAGATGGGCACGCACAGGAGCAGGGAGCAGAGCTCTGAAAGTGAGGGCTGAGCCTGCTGGAAACTTTGTGGATTAAGAAATGAAACGGGAGTGAGCGCGTCTTTGCCAGAGGGAGGTTTTTGTTGCAGCTTTTATGCTTTTATACAGCAGAACCCAGCGCAGCAGAGGAGGATTTACAGCTTCTCACGGTATGTTGGGAGGGTAAATGATTGCCATGCATTTATAGGTGGATCTGAAAAGCAACTGGTTTTGCTGATAAGCTCTTGGGTGCTGCAAACTGTGTTTTTCTGTCTAGCTGGGGACAAGTGAGCTAACTCCAAGGGTACCAATGAAATGCTTCAGTCAGCTTGGGTCTTTGCACAGGCACCGGCCATGAGCAGCGTGCCATTTAGCAAAAGAGTTTTGCACAAAAATTGGCGTTGTGATTACCTAATGTTTGGATGTCTTGGACTTTGAAGTAATTTTGTGTGTGCTTTAGGTTCTCAGACTGCTACAGATGTTACTTCTGAGAAGATGTAAAATGAATCAGTGGGTCGGTTCCCTGAAGTGATTGCTTTATTCCAGCTCCTGTGTCCTGGTTTCAGTTCAGGGTAGCTCAGAACTGGAGGTGGAGCTGAGGGAGATGCTGTGCATGTGCAGTGCTGTGTAACGAGTCATAAACTGTGGAAGCTGTGATAAATTCGGAATTGGCGTTGAGCTTGTTTTATAAGGGATTTTAAAACTATGGATCTCACAGGTTTTTCCCAGTTGGGTTTTTTTAGGTGCAATACGATCAGTGTGATGCAGCTGTTTTAAGGCTGCGATGAAAGCCAGCTTAGTGTGTTTTAAAATGTTTTCCAGCGTGGCAGCTGTTGGTAGCTCCGTGTTCTGGACTTGTAAATGGCATCAGGCAGATAGCTGTATTGGCAAAGAATTACTCAACATGCTTTTATCTATAGGGAAACAGGTTTTAGGCCTCCAATATGCCCAAGTTTAGAACTCCTCTGACTTTGAGAGTAACTCTAGATTGCAAACACAAAGTAACGTGGGGTTTTGTCTCCTGGACTTGCTCACGGTGTCACTGCTGGTTAAATAACTCCTCGTTCTGCAGAGTGCAGGTTTCCCTGCAGGTCGTAAATCTACAACAGCAAGCTGATGATTTAACAGGATCCCCAAAATGTCATGAAAAATCAGGTGAAATTGACTTTCCTCTGGGCTCCCGAGTAGCTTGTGTTGTTTCTGGTAGCTCTGAAGTCTTCTTAGAGAGTGGTGTGGGAACCAGGAGGGAAATCTGCCCTTGGGTGGTGGCTGTGAGGGTTGTCGGTGCGCGGGGCATCCCCTGCTCTTGGAGATGAAAGAGAAGATGGTGCACACCGCCTTCTGCACCTGAGATGTTTGAAAGCTGGTGGAGCTTCGTGACTAATCCACAACAGCCTGTATTGAATTCAGATGACTAATCTCGTTTCTGCACCAAGTCCTAGAAAACACCTTGAGCATCGTTAAAATCTCGTCATATAATTAGAGCCTGAATTAGGTTTGCTTGCACTTTGCAAAGTGGTAAATGTGAAGCTTAAAAAAGGCGTTCTGTGTTCCTGAAGTGTTGCGGCTTAAATATCAATTTTCCACTGGTAGATGAAAACTTGATGTAGGTCATCTGAAAGCAGGGTTACAAAATGATCGTGGCTCCTTCTGCCTGTCCAGGCTGAGCGAGGCGTAAAGGATGCAGGAATGGTGATTTGGGGCATCCTTTTAGGCAGCACGGTGTGGCTTCAGAAATTCAGCTGGGGCAATTTGGCGCTGCTGTGGTCTCCCTCCAGGCCCTGTTTTTGTATCTTTTCCAGAGGTTTCTTTGCACTGTGTGTAGAGGTGTCGCTCGTACGGGAGGAGATGCCCGCCGTGCGCAGCGAGCTTCCCCGTGCTCTGCAGCTCCCTGGGGAAGGATTGCAGCCTGCAGGAAACAAAATACAAGCTTCTGTCTAGATCTTGTAAACATCACATAGCAAGTTCCTTGAGATGTTATATCTTTGTGAGTGAATTTGCAAGCAATTAATTGCTTTAAGTATAAATGACAACTGCATTTTTTTCAGATGGGCTTTGTGCACTGTGGGGTTGTTCTAAGACCGTATTTGTGATGGGCTTTGGTCTCTATTAGTTGAGCTCCTTCACACTTTATGTTATAAATGTGAAGCTTTCCTTTTCACTTGCTGCTTACCAGGAATGAGTACATACTGGCTTTTAAATGGAATCAGGAGTCTGGCCTGAATCAGTGTGCAGCAGGAAAATCAACCCATGCTGCTCTTCTCTGACTTCCTCCCTTCCAAACTTGCCCTTTGTTGGTTATCTTGTATCACATATAACCTTGATTTCACATCTTCTGTTTCTCCTCCCCTTTCCTTTTTTGACAAACCAGAGCTGGCTTTCGATAAGAACTTCAAAGAAGAGAAGAAAGAGGAGTCATTTAGTTCACAGCTAAATGCTTGCTTTTCCTCGGTTCCTTAAAAAAAACCCTAAGCCCTGGACGATTTGTGCAGCGTGTCAAAGTTTAACATACTTCTTTATGTGCTTAAATGAAGAAACATTATTTTAATCATTTTATTCTGCTAAAGGGACAAATTTTGGTAATGTACAGCCAAATATCATTTATTCACGTACATTTTTTTATAATAGGAATTTGGGATTAGATCTGCTAACCGAACAGGTTTGATTTCAGCTTCGACTGAGATTAATAACCATCATAGTTGGTTTTTATTAGGAGCAGGCTTTGGGTTTTTGTATGGGCTTAAGCCATCAGAGATGGTATCTGCAGCATAGCAAATTATTTTGTGATGAAGTGTGGTTTATGAAAGTATGTTTAAGAATACGGATAATATTTACAAGTAGGCTTCTTCCCTCCAGAGTTTCATGCTTTAATTTATGTTTAAAAGCACAAGTGTCTTTTAGACAGAAAAATTATAAAAATATCCCTTTTTTCTGCAAAGTTACTTTTAAAATATGCTCATTTCCCTTTACTTATGTGAACAAGATGCATCTGATAAACGTTTTCTGTAGAAACCAGCAGTTATGTAAATGTGGGGGTGTTTGGAGTGGGGGTGCAGGTTGTGGACCAGAATGCTTAGGAATAATTTCCATTGAAAAAATGGAGAAATCAATTTGACTAAGACTCAGTCTCCACGTAGTTGCTGTCTGGAGTTGCTACCAGGGTTTGGGGGTGCTTATGAATTAGTAATTTTGACAATTGAATTGCTCTTTTTTGTAGCTCTGCCTTTGACACAAAGACCGGGTTGCGTGTGGCTGTAAAGAAGCTGTCCCGACCATTTCAGTCTATCATCCATGCCAAGCGGACCTACCGAGAGCTGCGGCTACTTAAGCACATGAAGCATGAAAATGTAAGTTAAGGGGGATGCTCAGAAAAGTTGGGCTGTCCGGTGAGCATCCAGCAGGGCTGGATTTAAGGATCTCCTTGCACAGGTTTTTCTAAAACTAAATATGAAGCTTGCAGTCTTCCAAGGCATTATGGCTGAAGAAAAGCATGCGGTGTTGTTGGTTTTGTGTTTTTTGTTTTTGTTTGTTGTTTTTTTTAAATATCAATTCTAAATTAAAAAGTGTAAGGTTTCCTAGAGTAATTTGGAAGTTTCTGCTTAGCAGGTTATTGCTAAGGATTTAGGACACAGGTGATGTTAGTCCATTCTCCTGGTGCACAGTAAGGTGTATTTATTTAAAAAAAAAAAAAAATATATATATATATATATATAGCAAGATTTGGTGTGTTCTGGAGGGTTTTACTTGTTTTGACTTCCATCATGTTATCATGTCAGAAGGGGATGGAGTAGATAGATGTTCACTAGATTCCTGTAAATAAAATAAAGATAAAGGGGGTGGTGGGGGTGGGAAATCAAGGTGTCTTTTCTTACAAGCCATCCATTATCAACAGAGGGAAACAAACAAAATAGACTGTGACAGATGTTGTGTTGAACTATGTTGCAAGCTGTCTAATCGTTTCTCAGTATAACTTTAGTTTGCTGTAGAAAATGGTTGAACGATTCTGTGTGTCTGTGGCATGTCAGACACTGGCATATTAGTTCTGTGTGCTGTTAGGAGCAAATATTGCCTGCAGCAGAGCGAAAAGTCTCATGACTTGCCCTCTGTAGAGCTGTCAGAGTGCCTAGAGGAAGGAAGGCTCTTGGTTTTCGTCCAAGCAAACTCCAGCTTAGCAGGAGGGAAATAATGTTTAACAAGTGGGCTGAGGGAGCCGCCTACTTTTATCTAAGGCAACAAACAAACAAGCCTGGTTTCACTGGAACGTTCTCCCCGGACGGTCTGATCAGAGCTCTGTCTTTTGTGGCAACGGTAGCTGTGTGTTGTGGCTTCTTAGCACCGCAGCCAGCAGGTGGTATCCCTTAAATCTTCCTGGCGTTTGTAGCCTGAACGAATGGGAACTTTTGATACGTTTGTGCTATTCTCAGCAGTATTTTCTCAGTGCCTCTACGTGATGCTGTTGTCTGAACGGTAGAGATAGCATTTGATCCTGCTTCATATCCATCCCCTGGAGGTCGTTCTGGACCTTCTCACATACCTGAGATATTCTCCCAACTGTTGCAGAGGAAAGCTTTGAATGAATGTTTAAATAAATATCAGAGTATCGATCCATTTTGTCCAAGCTAATATGATTAAACAGTGGAAATTAGTTTGGTGCTACAAGAGTTCTACGTCTGCTGTTCATTAATATTTTTGACATTAGCATTGCAATGGGCATATATATATATTTGAGAGTAAGGGATAAAAGGATGTTGTTTAAAATTTTTTATATATAGAAATATTTGTTATCAGTTCATCATACCATCATCTGTCTGTGGGACGTTTATCTAGGTTGTGGTTTAAAATCTTGCAGATGCAGGGATGTTTAGAGCCAGTTCCGACAGGCTTGTTAGTGCTAGTGCAGCGACTGTTCAGGCCTCAGGTTGGAGGTAAAAGACGGGGTTTTACACGGCGCAGAACACCACAGAATATCTGGTAAGTACAGCATTTTAAGGAGCTTGAGCACAGGGTAGTTTTGTGTCCTGTATCGAGTCTGGTCATGTTGATCTTGAGCAAATAAACGGACCTGTGGAGCAGTCCAGAATGGCTGCGTAATACTTGCAGGCTCCACGAGGCCTCGTTAGCTTGCGTTAGCACAAGCCTGAGCAGATGTGAGCAAACTGGGATTTGTGTCATGTGAAGAAGTTTTAAGCTTTGTGACAACCTAAAACGCTGCAAGGGGTATGCAAAATTTGGGAGTGGGGCTCTCCAGCTGTTGGTGACCACGCTTCCTTAAAACTGACTCAGTGATGTGCTGCAAAAGGACTGAATTTGTGTTTGTGGAACTTGTTGATGAAAGATACGGATAGCGTGACAGTGAGCTTTAGAGTGTAACAAGATAGAAACGATAAATGAAAAAGTTGAAGTCTAGGTGGCAAGGTCGGTTTTCGTCTTCTCATGCTAAAATGGGTTGGTAACATTGCATTTTTCTGTAAATATCGATGCAGAAGAGTTCACTGGAGAAAGGAAACATGAGAAGTACTATGAAGAGACGTGTTTATAGTTTGAAGACGATGTCTGTCCAGAAGCAGAGTTTTGATGTATATGAGGAGAGGCAGAAAAGTGTTCATTCAGGTTCCCCGATGAACATGTAATCTGGGATATATAACGTAGATGAGACAGAGGCTTTTATTTCCTACCTGCTTGTTCTCTTTTCCAAAAACAGTCTAGCTTCCCTGAAACATTTGGCTTTAGTTACTGGCTGAAATGTAACTCAGTTGGCCCTGACATCCTTGGCAAGTGTAAATGATGAGATTTAGAAAAAAAAAAAAAAAAAAAGTGCCGAAGGGAAACCACAGCAGTCCAACTCTCAGCTTCATATGCACGCTTGAAGAATTGCTGACGTTGCTGAAATGTTCATGATGCTTATGTATACAAGAGAGGTGAGATTCAGACTTCAAATATGAAGAAGGAACCTGTGTCTTTATCTCATATTTTCACCAACAAAAATATACTCTTAAAAGAAGGAAAATAATGTTTAAAAGTGCATCATAGTGAAAACTAGAACACTTTTGACCAGATTTGGGTTGTTTCCTAAATGAAATGTAAATGACTAGAAGATACTTCCAGGTTAATAAGGAATAGCTGTTCTTTTCCACGGAGTAGCTCACACATGCCCTTTTACCCTTCACTGTTAGAACAGTTTAGGTGTGAAAAGGAAAGGTGGAATAGAGGCTCATAGGGCAGCAAATACAAGAGACAGTGTGAAGCTGTCTGCTCCGTGTGAAACTCGGGTCCTCTTTGCGTTGCACTGTTTTCCTGACTTGCTTTCTGGTGTAGTCATTATTATTCACTGCTTGTGCTGCAGATCCTTACTCAGTACACGTGGGAAAAATACAGTCTCCTAGGTCTGATTTAATAAGGAGTCACTGGTATAACTAAGGATTTAGCAGGAAGCAAACAGATTTCTGTCTGGTGTTTTTTTTAATTCATTCATTCCCTGACCAAACTTTAGTTGGTTTTTAAAATCAGGTATTCTAAGCCAGTGTTTACACCTGCCTTGAATTGTCTTGATTTGTTGTGGCTCCCACTTGATGTTTTAAGTGGATGGCTGGTGTGAAAAGACACCTGTGTATTTTGACCTCAATGTTTTTGTACGCAAGAATGTACGCTTGTGTCTGATCTTGTATGAATACTAATTTGTCTACATCTGGATGATTCATGTAGTTGGAAATAAAACATCTAGTGGAATGAGTAGTTTCTATTCCACAAAGGACTTTATTAACTGTATACTATGAATGTTTTTCACAGCTCTTTCACTTTACCTTTTTCTTTCTAGGTTATTGGTTTGTTGGATGTGTTCACCCCTGCCAAGTCACTAGAAGAATTCAATGATGTGTAGGTAACTTCTCTGAAGATTGCAACAAAACATCTTTTTTATCTCCTGTACCTCTCCCAGATTATTACAGGAATTGTTGTCACCTTAATTTGTCTGCCATTATTCTCAAGCAGTTGTGAAATACAACGCAAAAGACATTTGGACATCCTATGCCATTCCACTCTTCCAATTTGTTCACTTGTTTTATTGACCAGCGCTGTAGGAATTGATGTACTAATCTGCTACATCATGTAGTGTGTCATGACTGTATTTCATTCAGCAACATGCCTGGGACAGCCAGCCCTGCTAGTGGTGCTTCATAAGGAATTTTTATCCTAATCATGCTGAAGAGATTGCTTCATAGCCTGTTTCCTTTTGTTCACAGGTACTTGGTGACACACCTTATGGGAGCAGATCTGAACAACATTGTGAAATGCCAGAAACTCACAGATGACCATGTGCAGTTCCTCATATACCAAATTCTTCGGGGGCTGAAGGTACCTGCAGCTGTGCTGCCCGAATGTTGATCGCTCATCAGTGGGAAGTGCAAGTTCTTGATGAATGTCATATCCTCAGAGGTTCATATGAGTGCATAGAGGGGCTTCTGTAACTTTCCTAATGGATTGTAGGATAACCTTTTATTATTATTCTTTCCTTCCGTACCTCTCTGGAACTTTGTAACGGTAAAGCTGTGTATGATTTCAGAAGATATTTGTGTACGTTCCTGTGGACAGAGTCTGGGAAGTTATGTACTGTTCTGTTCTGTCCTTTAATCTGCCCTGACTATGAATCTTCCATTTCTTCAGTTTCATTTTTTTTCTCACTTCACTCATGGTAGCAGTGCTCCTAAGGAGAGACCGAGTATGATACCTTTGTACTTGAAACCTACAGATGCTACACTTGGTTCCTCCTGCAGATGAGCTGTAACATTTTTATTGCGTTGGATGGGGTAGGGCAGTGTTGTCTGGTGAGGAAATGTGAAGAAAGCTACTTGGACTGTTAATAAAATTTGTCATTTTGCTTTGCAGTACATCCATTCAGCTGACATAATACACAGAGTGAGTATTAACCCCGAGATTACTTCCTGCAATGAACTAATGTGTTTGAAAAATGTAACACAGAATCTAACCCTACAGAATCAAGAAGAAATTTTCTGAGAATTAGTTTCATTAAACAGTCAAAAGTTTAGCAATGGGAGTGGTTCTCAAAATCCTCAGTTTCTGTTCCTGTATCTTTCTGAAATAGGTTCTCTATTTGTTAAATACCCATCTACAGCACTCGTGGTGCAGTCAGCCTTTTATGTATTTTTGCTTGTATTTGACACTTCTGCATATACTAGAAGAGAGCTGATTCTGGGATAAAATTATTTTCCTGAGTACAGAGAGTTGAAAACTAGTTGAAGTCTTATTTTCTGCTTGCATTTACATTTTTATCTACTTCAGACTTGTGCAGCAATGTATGTACTGCCATTAATGCTGATGTTGTTTAATTTTTTAGGATTTAAAACCTAGTAATCTAGCTGTAAATGAAGACTGTGAGCTAAAGGTAACTAAACCCCATGTGAATAGTCTGACTGTATTCTGAGTGAATGCATTGTGGATGGCCCTTGGATTTAAAGGGGGAATTAATTTTTCTATCTTACAAAATACTTTTGTAAACCAAACTAATCATGTCCTTCCCAGACATAAATGGTTTTAAGGGTGCTTATACAGAATTCATGTTTCTTCTCTGTGTGTTCACATGTTTTTAATGAATCACTTTGAAAGTGAAGAGTTAATAGCTTTACTTTGGACCTGGTTGTTTTAGAGACAAGATACCTAGACGTAATTCTGACTGAGTGCTGTTATTCTAGGCTGGTGTCTTTTAACAGGTCATGAAATTTAGTTTCGTAATTCACTTTCGCAGTTGCACCACTTGTCCTCCACCCAATCCAAGAATTGCAAAGCAGTTACAGCAAACAACTAGACGTTGTAGCACGACAGTAATTGGCGGATGTCTTTTCTGTTCTGTAGATCTTGGATTTTGGCTTGGCTCGACACACAGATGATGAGATGACCGGGTACGTGGCTACCCGGTGGTACAGGGCTCCTGAGATCATGCTGAACTGGATGCATTACAACCAGACAGGTAGCGTGTTTCACTAAAAAAGGGTTTCTCTGTTCCTGAATTCCTGGAAAAAAAGGAAGTCATCCTATGTACCTGTTCCTTTTCATTTGGTTGTGTAAATTGACAGTTACGGTAATTACACTCCAGTAAGGGTGATTTAAAAGAAGGCACAGAAATAGTATTTGAACTGCAGTCTTGGATCAGCGTTATGAATCATTGTGATAACATTCACAAGACTTATTTAAACTTGAACCTTTTGAAATTGCAATTGGGAAAATATTGTCAACGCTTATCCCTTACTTTTCCTAGCACACTGGCTTTTAAAGTGAGTGAATGGAGTGTATCTGAACAGGGAAAAGATGCCTTTCTAGGAAGCTGCTGGAAATGCACTTTAAAAATGTCTGTGATTATGGGGTGAAGAAATGCTAAAAATATATATAAATGTCCCTTCCTTTCCTCTCTTTTTAGCCACTTCATCCTTGTTACACCTCTCCTGCCAGTCTGAGTAGCTTCCCAGCAACGCACCTTGCTTCCCTAGAATTCTTTCAGATCAGGCAAAGAAAGGAGAAAAAAAATACTGAGGAAGTTCTAGTACATGGGTGCATAGGTAGCAATAAAAATAATGTGTTACTCTGGTTTCATACCTTACTACTTTTCATCTTTTCTCTTTTCCTCTTGCATGTATGTGGGCTTGTCCTGTATCTGTAATATAGCTGGTGGTTGTTGGGGTAGAATTTGTGAAAGATCATATACAAATTTATTCCTTAGAGTCTTGAACGGGTTTCTTCCTCCTTGACTTTGTAGATAGCTCCTTAGCTCTAGGTGTCCAGTGCAGGTTACTTCTTGGAAGGAAAACTTGCCTGATGTAGTATTACGTTATTCGGACAAGTCTTAGCCAAGTGGTTATTGAACAGTGTCAGCTGCCTTGCAGGTTATTTCAACACCATGAGGCTACTGAAGCACAAAGTTGTTTGCAATTGTTGGATAGGGTGATTCTATTGAGACTTTATTTTTCTGCCTTATGTTCTTGTTTTTTTTATTTTATTTTGTTCAGTTGATATTTGGTCAGTGGGATGCATTATGGCTGAACTGTTGACTGGAAGAACGTTGTTCCCTGGTACAGACCGTATCCTTTACAAGTAATGTATTTTCTGTAAATGGAAGTTAGAGATCTCCACTGTCACATACTTCATGAGGAAACAAGTTCTGTGCTTTTTTGTTGGTTTGTTTTTTGAATTATTATCAATGGTTTCTTTCACTCACAATATGATGAAGTGAGTTCTGAAATCATCACAGTGTGCAAAGTGCAAGAGGCAAATCTATTATTTTGTATTGTCTATTAGCATGACTAGAATTGTGTTGATCACCTCTGGGAGTTTCTTTTTTAGTTTATTTAAACTTTATTTTTCTTTGAGGTTGTAGAAAATAACTGCTTGGAGTAGTCTGTCTGCTGTGAATCCTCTCATGCTTCACGTTTCTAGCAAATGTTAAGCATCCCTTCTGGCCTCTCTTCTGTATCCTGGTGGTATGCTGTGAAAGCAGTGGGTTTGCAGATTCGTTAGTGCCAAGGATCTCATTCCAAACTGCTCTGCAATGTTTAGGTTCTACTTCCATGCTTGAGCGTAAACAGATTGCGAGCCTTCTTTCGCTGTATGCTTGTATTGATGTGGAAGCTCAAACTTGAATAAAATCTCTTCCAAATTATTTCTGTGGTATCAAAGTGGGCTTGGTAGGACACTGGCAAATTTAAGCAAGCAGTTTGTAAGAGCTGGTGGTATTTCTCCCCAGGAGACTTGATGCAAAGCGTTGTACTTAGAACTTGGTTGTGTGGCTGAACAGACTTACAGGGGTAACTCACCTCAAGATGTTTCATTGCCTAAAAAGTGGGGTTTCTTTGCAAGAGAAAATGATGTTGCCCACCTTTTATTAAACTTAATTCTTTCAATTTGTTAATTTTATTAACTTTTGTTAATTTATTAGTATTTATGTCCGTTAATTGAAATATATGAAGTGCTGGCCTTCTGTGTACTGTTACTTCTGGAAGGCATCCAGGTTCCAAAACTCTCTGGCAGGGGGAGCAACTCTCAACACAGTTCTGACGCTTTCATCTCTCCTTTTGATATGCTCTAGCTTCATCATTTTTCTCTATTTATGCCTGTCGTCCTGTAATCTCTCTCCAAACTTGTTGAACTTGCTGTACTCTACTGTTTAGTTACCCTTGGCATGTTCTCCTGTTGTCAGGAATAGAAGCAGACTAACAGGAAAGTGGTTAAGAAGCCAGAAAAAAAGTTACTTTATCAGCTGATTTAGCATTTATATTTTGGTATAAGCAGAGTTTTGTTTTTTCAAGGGAAAAAAAAAAGCATTAATTTGTTAAAATATGAGCAAAGTTCTTTAAGCTATTGACTTTATTGCATCCTAGTAACGGTGACATTGTCAAGTTCTAAAAATCTTGATACTTGCAAATAAGATATTTCCTAATAGGATTAGAAACACGTAAGAAATGTTTCACAGTGTGTTCTTTATGAATTGAAGAAAGTTCTCAGGCTTGGAAGATCTATTTTGTTCTACAACTGTTTTTTTAGCTGTGAGCTACAACTAATAATATCCGCAAAGCAAAATAATGTTTGCTTTTAAGATAGGAATTAGTCAATTATTCTACTGTGACAAAGTAAGTAACTTTGATCTCCCTAAAGATGTTTGTGACTCTTCACACTAAATGTTCAACTTCTCTTGTAAATGGTAGTAACGCTTCTGACTTAAATGCTTTTTCTGTTCTGAATTGGTTAAGTTACCAAAGATTAGGCTCAATCCTTTTCTATCCCAGGTGAAACTTTGTAGTACTTACAGTTCTTACAGTTTGCATGGGTGGTTTCCCACTTCAAGTAATGTGTGTGCTGCTTGGTCATGAGGTTAGAATGGTAAGGGGAGCAGTGTTTGTGGTCATGAATCTTGTTTGTGCATCTTACACTTATCCAAGAATCTAGAAAGGCACCAAGCTATCAGCTTCCACTCCAGTTTTGCTGACATCTAAAGAAAACAAATAGAAGTAAGGTAACAGGAGGCTTTTTTTTTTTCTCTTTCTTTTTGTCTTTTTTCTTTTTGAAATTTTTAATATAAATTTTCCAGATCTGGATCCTGCTGAGTACTTCTGGTCTCTTGATAGTTTCTTCGTGCCACAGATGTGCTGAGGTCTGTGCTGCTCCTGCAGTGTCACTGCACACTTGCTGGCAAACTGGAATGCTGAATTCTAAGTATATTTACCGTGCTTCTGGTAGCCAAGGATGCGGTACGCCCACATCTACTGCACTTTTAGGGAATTTGTATTCCAGTTGAAGGCAGTGTGACCATGTATTTTGGGTGTTGAAAATTTGGAAACTCCTCCCCTCCAACAACTGGGAAAATTGACATTCTTGTTGCTTTTTGGTGTCAAGATAATAATTTTCTCAGCTCTATGGCTTCACATTTCCTAAATCAAATAGACAATGACTGAGCAGTGCCTTTTCAGTATGCTCAGGACAATCATCCTCTTGTTCAGGTAGTTCTCTGACTGAAATACTGCTCCCTTTCACCAAGGATTTAGCAGAAGTGATGTGACGTTATTTACAGCCCACTGGGTATTAATTTACAAGGCTTAGAGATGCTCCCATTACTTGTAAATGGGCTTCAGAACAAGCAAACTGTACAGCTGCTTTTGTCCGGTAAGTAACAAAGTTGTATTTGGAGCTGAAGGTCTTCAATGCTCCGTATGATGGTTATGCCTCTGATAAACTAATGCTGAATTTAGTATGAAGGCTTGAAGGAACTAATCAGTGGAGATCCTGAACATGGCTGTCATTGCCTTAAAGCAAGTGTTTTGGGTACTCTCACAAAAAAGAAAAAACAACTATGATACAACTGTGATCTATATGGGCTTAGCTTTGCAGGATTATTACAATATTTCTAGCTTTACTGAATGTACACTAACTGAATTGTTCCTGTTGTCATCTACAAATGAAAATACTTGCATGAAAGATGGATTTCTAATATCGGTAAAATCTCTGCTAGGAGGTGAAAAAGGTTGTGGGGAAGACTAGTTAGAGACAAAAAGGGAGGTAATAAAAATCAGAGTCCTTCAGGCTTTTAACATTGGGCTTTCTTTTTATCTGTTATATTCAAAGATCAGTTTCTGTCTAAAGTGTATGCTCCTGATTTTTTTTTTACAGCTCCTGTAATATGAATGATTCATACGCATAACGTAGGAAAGCTGACGTTTGACAATTCAATTTGTATTAAAATAATAACGCACAAATAAGAAAACCTTGAATGTTTTGTTTTAGCTTAGACAGCTTTGTGTGTTTCTGTGTATTTTAAGTTGACTGTATTCCCTTTAAACTCTGAGAAATACTTCTTCAATTATTTTTGTTCAGTAGTATGGGAACTTCATCATAACCAGCTAGCCTGAAATCACACATTCTTCTGATGCATCCCGTTTTTGCCTGTGGTGGCAGTTAAATCAACTTTTGACCTTTGCTTTGCCTGGATAAGCTCTTAGTCTTGCAATGCCTGCTACGGGTGCTGATGGAAGATCGTTTTCTGAATTTCAGCATCACTGAGACTTGTCAGTTGTCACGGGTACCTTGGTGATGGCATTTGGGGTTTGCATGCTGTGTTTTCCTTCTCCATGCACATTTTTTTTTCTTTTGCTTTGTATTTACTAAGTGTTTTTTCTTGTCTGTAGTTGCTTATGGCTCACGTCCCTAGAACCTGGTAGGCTCTGCAGTTAGATGAACGCTGTAATTCATCAGGTTACAGATTGCAGACATACAACTAGATGTAGTGGTTCGGTTTTGGCATGCCTGTAGCAGTGTGGGTGACACGTTCTGTGTTTCCTTTTCTTTATCTGAGAAGACACTAAAGCACATTACACACGTATCTTCCTATAGCATGCGGTCCCTGGGGAAAAGAGCTGACAGCAGACTGGGCAACAATACTGTTGGCATACCTGATGTACACAATATTAAATACCTTTAAAAGAATTTAAATATTTAAACTGAGGTGTGAGATGTAACATCTGAGGGGTGCTGGCAGTCTTAAACTTGCACAACTGTTTCTTTCACAAGAGTCAGTAAAAGGTATAAGGGCTGTTTTAAGTGGCACAGAGGAAAATCCAATTTAAATGAGCTAATTATGGTTAGTGTAGCACCCGTGCTTCTTCTCCTACTCCAGTAGATACAGTGATTTCATTTCAGCATTGATAATTAGGAGTTTGCAATTCAGCTGCTAAGCTAAATCCTGTTAGATACATTGGATTTACACTGAGGTTTTGAGTAGGTAGGAGTTGGCCAAGCAACTTGAGAAGTGAGAAATTAGTTCAGCTGTTCTGCCGAAGTACTGCTTCCAGGGGCTTTACGTTTTATATGGAAAACTTGAAACCATGATTTAAATTAGAAGATAAAGGTTTTAGCAGAGTGCTGGTGATTTCCTTCGTATCCAGTTTGCCAGTAACACAGGAACGCTGCATTTAAAAGAAAAAGCAACCCCCAAGCCAGTCCCTTGGTAGGTGCAAAGATGCTTTTACATAAGTAGTATGTGAGTAGTATCTGATGTTCTCAGAAAGAATCGTAACTGCATCTGAAAACATCGGGAAGGCATTAATCCCAGGGGAAAAAAAAATATCTAGTATATAAACTGCTTTTATTGAAAGGAAAACTTGTAACTAGTTTGAGAGACTTTTGAGTCTCAAATATAAACATTAGGGACAGTCTGGAATCACCAGTGGGGTTTGAAGGACAGCATGGAGGATGACTTGGAGAAGAAGGGAGATTTCTTCTTTTAATGATTTTAAAAAGATACCTCCTTACTATCTGGAGTTTTAGACATACAACTGTCTTCAATGGTTTTTTTTCATTGAGTGTGTGTTTTGTCACATAGCCCAAATACCAAGTTTTTCTGCCTAATTAAGAGGGCAGCTCAGGATGGTAAGTGGCCTCGTGGAGGCTCTTTCCTGGATTAAAACACTCTTTGCATCTGCAGTGCTGTCACCCAAGAGCTTCCTCCAGAGAGATCTTAGATCTGAGCCTACCTTGTGCTTCGGCTGCTTCTCACCTCCTGCCCTGCGTCCCCTGCAGCAGCTGGAGGGAGCCAGCACCCTCTGCTGGCTGCACAGCCCCTTCCTCCAGCGGCTGCTGTGGGTGCAAGGAAGGGTTCAGGGATGCCAAAAATCCCTCCCGTAGCAGAGCTGTAGGTGGTGAGCAGGGACCGGTCACGTTCTTAACTCTCAAGTTTTCCCCGTGGCTGAATCATCTTGTCAGGTGTTCACAAAAGGCCTTGACTTTCTTAATACTAGTGCTTACACTTTTCAGTCTCCTGCTTTGTCTGTCACTAATCCAGCCTAATCCTGCTGACTGCTGCTACTTTGGTGTGGGGCTAACAGGGTGAAGTGAGCATGTAAAGCCGTCCTTTGCCAGCGGGGCAAAAAGCTTGGACTTGTGCTCCGCGCTGGGTAGGGATGCAGTGAGCAGCTCGATGCATGCGGTGCATTTCTAGTCGAGTTGTTCAATCTGGCTAATACAGATGGAGCTGTGTTATAAGTGGGTATGCAATTTTGTTCGAGAAGAATGAATACAGTTTGCTTAAAATAGCTTTTCAGTTGAGGCCTTGGCAGGCGTTAACTTTCAACATTAATAGGCTGATATTTTGCGCTTTTCATTTTGATTTGTCCCAGCATTTTCCTTTATGGTCCATCATTAGATATTGATCAGTTGAAGCTCATTTTGAGACTCGTTGGAACCCCAGGGCCTGAGCTTTTGAAGAAAATCTCCTCAGAGTCTGTGAGTTTACACTTTGATTGTAATATCTGCCCTTTTGGAAGTCCCAAGTTTGTGTGTTGCCCTCCTGTAGTCTGTCTGTAGTATTTGTTGAGATTTCTTTTTGTATTTTTCTTTTGTCATTCTTTACTCCTGGATGGCTTTGAGTTCATATGCTGTGTGTATCTGATCTTTATTTCTGTTAACTCTGCCTGTGGTATGATTTCTTCATTCCATATTCTGTTTTTACTGCTTCGTGACTTTTTTTTTTTTTCAGTTTGTGGGTTTATACTTTGTGATATATTGTATGATCAGATGCTGCTGGGAAAGTATTTTTCACAGCTAAGAACTTGAGGCTTGTCTCAATTATTATTTCTCCAGATTGCCTACCCAAGGATCTTTCTGGGGAGGGAAACTGAACAAGAGCAAGTGTTACCTTCTAGACACGCACAGTCCCTTCTGTAGTATGATTAATTCCTGAAACACTGCTGCAACCATCTCAGGCTTTTGTAGCATAAGAGCTAAAGTGCCTTTTAGGTGCTCTTATGTGTATGGGGTCCCTTTTGTCAAGATAATCACAAAAAGCTTTCTACAGCCTCCTTTTTAAAGGGCGACATCTACCTTCAGCCATATTGCCATGTCTTCATTGTTTTAATCTTGGATTGGGATCTTCTGCAAAGACAGTTTCAAACGGCATTCATTTTTACCTGTTACTGAAAGTAAAGTGCATAAAAGGTAGAGCAAAGGATGGTGTAACAGTACAGATTAACGAGGCAATCTGTAGCGGGCAATGAACTCGTTTACAGGTAACTGACGACACACTTCAGCAAGTCACTCGCTGCTGCTTCTGTTAAGTAACAGGGTCAGCGTGGTGGAGAGCAGAAAGATAATTTTGTGCTGCACCTCATGTTCTTTCCCGTGTAACACTTAGGGTAAATGTGAGGTTAACCTTGAATTACGTTTCAGGAAGGTAGAAGTAGTGCAGGTTGGAATGAATCGGTAGATTTACCGAATATCACACCAATTTCAAACATCCCGGGGCGTCTCTTGGCATGGTAGAAATGATTAACGCAGGTCACTCGGGCTGCCTGTGAGCTGACCTTTTGGGACTCTGAGGAAGGGTAGGCTGGTATGTGAAGTACAGCAGATTAGTGAGAGAGAAAAGCTTTAAAGGTTGGCTAGGTTAAGCAAAAGATCAGTTTGTATGTGTAAGATTTAAACATTTTCTTCTTTAATATTGTGCAATAAAAAGCATAATTGATCTTAGCCAGGTTCAAATCAAGAGTGTTTTTTAAAAATGCAATAAAGTACTGTCTCTACTACATTTTTCCATTGTACAGAGATGGCAGAACTATTTGAGGGCTTTTAAATGTGTCACTGTAAGAAATTCTGTATTTGTTTTTCTGCTGCATTTCTTCGGTATCCTCTTACTTTCTCTGTCCTGTTCACTGGCATCAGCTAACTCTTATGTCTTATGCAATGCTAATGTTTTGCTAATTTTGCACTTATTGCCTTCTGTCACTTCGCCCACATATCAAAGTGCATTCAAAGCTGTTTAGAAGGAGGTGTTAGTTGTAAGCTGATTTCACTTTGCACCACAAGGAACTTAAATACTTTCTGTGCAGGAAGAAAAAAGCTGGTAACGAGTGCGGAGGATATGATTTTTGTTTCTGTTCTAATTTTTGTTCGTTTTCCTGAGGCTTTATGTAGCTGCAGCAGCCTAGGAAAATTTTTGAGGAGTAGATTCATCCAAATAAAATGTCTACTCCAGTGGCTTAAAACTGCTGGGAAATGTGAAAGCAACCATGTTGTAGTGTAATGCTACTGATGGCAGACAGAAATACTCCTTTCTGTATTGACGCTGTTACCAACTGAGTAATTCTCCATTGTTTTAAGTGTTCACTGGTGCAATTGCTAAACTTTCACAAGTATTTGAGGGGGAAAAAAAAAAAGCAGTAGACCCTGCCTGTTTGGCATGTGCCTTGTGGTTGGCAGAAGAGATGCTTTGTATGCAGCTGTTTTCTGTTTAAAATGGTTTTTGCACTGTTTTTAACAAAGCCCTTGACTAGGCACTTAAGATATTAACCAGCTTCAGCAGATCATGCGTCTGACGGGAACACCCCCTGCATATCTCATTAACAGGATGCCCAGCCATGAGGTGAGACCTGAGCAGATGAGGGGGTGGTTTGCAGGGCAGGTCATCACTTGCAGCGTTTGCTGCCTCTAGAAATGATATGCTCGCATGTGGCATGGGGTGGGCGATTAACTCCTTGTTCTTCAGCAAGATTCTTGTACTAAATGAAGACTTGAGATTTGGACAGTGCATACTCAACCACAGCCTTCTGAGACTCAGGAGAACCTGGAAGTGAGTTGGTTTTGCACTGCGTGAAACATGTGGCTTACCAGCAGACACCATACTGCACGCAGCCTTGTCGGGACTCCGAGGCAGTCAGCTCCTGCAGCACCTCTTTGCTTCTCAGTCTTGCATGAACCCCAAGTAATGTCAGCTCGTGCTCCACTGTCCTGAGTGGCCTTTAGCTGGGAAGGGATAAGATGGGCTTAGTAAGTATCAGAACAAGTAAAGAGGCGGCAAAGTGAGGAGACAGACCATAATAAGTGGTGCTTCAGGATGATTGAAATGTACTCTGTCTTGGTGGCTCGATTGTGTTAGACTTAACGGAGTATTCGTTTCCACAGGCAAGAAACTACATCCAGTCATTGTCTTACATGCCGAAAATGAACTTTGAAAATGTGTTTATTGGTGCCAATCCACTCGGTAAGGTTTGATTCTTTGTTTTTGTTTGTTTATTTTTTAAATGTGCTCTTCCCAGAGCTGAACCTGGCATGTCCTGGGATACTAAGACTTTTCCCAAAGTTTTGATTTGGCTGCAGAAGTAGGTCAGAACAGAGAATGCATGCAATCTTTCAGTTCACAAAATACATGTGGGCTGTAGGGTACCTGGGAAGCAATTGTGGGTGATGGGTACCTCCTGAGAAACTACATATTCCTCGTATACCTTGGGCTTCCATGAGCTACATTTCAGAACACAGTGTTGCTCGCATTGCTCACCATGTAAAATTCTCTTTTGGTGCTTTTGCAGCTGTGGACTTGCTAGAGAAGATGTTGGTACTGGATACAGACAAGCGAATTACTGCAGCGGAAGCATTGGCTCACGCCTACTTTGCTCAGTACCATGACCCAGACGATGAACCAGTGGCAGACCCCTATGACCAGTCGTTTGAAAGCAGAGAACTTGAGATTGAAGAATGGAAAAGTGAGTCTGGGGGACAGGAGGGAGCCTGATTCTCTCGTGGTCCATCCTTTAAGCTGCAGTTCATTTAAGCCATGCTAGTTAGAGGTGCAAAAGAAGCTGATAAAAAAAAATGTGGACACTGTTTGTTCTGAGGTCCTTGCAGTGAGTGAATTTATCACCCACTGCACGTAATTAGCACAGTCCTTGGTAATTACTACTTAGGAGTATACAAGCGTGTAGGTGGCATGGTTGCTCATGTCTGTTTTTCAACTGCATCCATGTCAATGTTTTGGAAGTATCCTTTGTGTGTATTAGTCTTGGAGATACTATATCCATTCTTTATTTTTTTTAATTAAAACTTAGTTGATTTTTTTTAATGTAGCTAGAAAGAACCTTTATGATCATTGCAGGTTTTCTGACATGAGGGATGTCTTTAGCAATCCGTATTAAGTTTCTTTCCCATTTTTCCCACCAGGCCTGACTTACGATGAAGTAATCAGCTTTGTGCCACCACCGCTTGACCAAGAGGAGATGGAGTCCTGAGAACCTGCTCTCTTCTGTTTGTCCCACTTCACTGTGAGGGGAAGGCCTTTTCATAGGGACTCTCCAAATATCATTCAAGTGCCTCGTCACAACAATATTCTCCTTGGTGGAGGGGTTTTGTGTGTGTTGAATCGGGGAGGGTGGGGGGAGGGAAGAAAGCTGAGTCTATGTAAACATGCTGCATGCTCTTGTATTCTGTGTACAGCCTGGGGCAAGCCTCTGAAGACCTGTTCTGACTGCTCTTTAGTCCTCCACAGAAACAGTGCTCAAACAGTTTGCGCTGCTGGGGCAAGGTGGGGAAAGTGACATTCAAAGTTAGGTTGCAATCGTTGCCATTTGTCAGTTGTTCTACAATTAAGTAACCTCAAAATAAGGGAAGTTGGTTGATAGGCGTAGAGACTCCTCTGTTTTCTTCAGGAGTGAGGGTAAGGTTGAGGGATGTCCTTGTTCCATGCCAGGGGGCTGATCTACATCCAGATCTTGGTACATAAGGTACAGCAGAACATACAGGCTTTCTGATGACTGATTCTTGGAATGTGAAAAGGTTTTGTATGAAACTGTAAATAAGTTTGTGCCTTAAGTGAATGGGGAATGAGGGGAAAGAAAGTCTGGATTGGAAAATCTGACCCTGCTGTTTTTCACGGGGAAGGCTCCCAGATAGCCAGGCATGAGCTCTATGTATTCAGGAAATAACTTTCCGGGGCAACAGCATCTTGCCTTGGATTGGGTATTCTGTGTTTTTGCCTCTTCCCCTCTTCTCGTTCTGAGGCTTCCCAGCATTAGTTCTCAGGAGACAGAGGCTGGAGAAGATTCTTGCTAGCCACATGTTGTGTATCTTGTTCTGTGAAAGGTGGGATTGGATGTTCTTGCATGTCGTAGCTGTATGTGCATGTAGAGCTGCTTACTTTTTGTTAACTTCTTGGGGATGGCACTGGGGCAGTTAAATCATCAGTGAACGGTTTCACTGAGTACCTCAGCCAGTGCCATGAAATCACAGCATCCTTCCTCTTGTGTTGCAGCTCGGTGTGAAATACCTGCCGCGGTGGAGGCTTTGGTGAGAAAAGGATAAAATATACAGCACAGAAACACGCACCTTTTCTTTAGTTCTGATCTGATTTCAGAGGAGGAGAGATTGGGATGGAAGGTTTCTTGTGAGATCAAGTGTAAAAAAAAAAAATGTTCTTCAAAGAAACAACTATGGCATCTTGTGCCAGAATTTAAGTTATTTCCTGAAAAGAATTTTTCCTAAAAATGTTGGAATCCAAAGCAAAGAAATAAGCATGCATAAAACCACAATCTCCCTTTCACTGTCTATATCTATAAATATAAGTATTTATATATATAAAACTAACATTTACTAGAGGAAATTTTACCATCTCTGATAAGAGCTTCTTGGCTGTTTTTTAGCAGGTCAATCTCTGCTTGAGGAAACAGGAAAAAGGAGCATGTTTGAATACAAACGTGGTTCAAATATTTTGTATTTTACAGGTCTCTGCATGAATTTAATACCCAGAGTTAGCTACTGGCAGAAGGGAGGTTTCTCAGCATTTTTGTGTGCTAGAACTATACCTGGGGAGCTCAGGAGCCCAATTTTAGGACTTGTGGAGGAGACCTTTTTAAGACATTTATCTGTTGCAGGCATCCTGTGCAGACAGCATACCCGTGTATGTGAGAAGGGCTTTTGCAGTATTTTGTATTCTTGTTACCTATGCGATGGAGAGGAAGTGTTTGTAGTGTTTTTACCACATGATTGAAGAGGCAGCACAAAGGGATGGGACACGAAAAATAAAGCCATCAATTCCTCCTAGGCTACTTTCCAGTGATCTCTTCAGGTCAAATACTTTATAAAGTCTGGGGTGAGATGAACAGAGTTTTGCCATGCTCTGGGGTAAAACTCTCCTTAGACCAACAAAATCAAGACAGAAAACCTCCCTTTTCTGCTGGACCGGCAGTCCAGGTATTCAAATGAAAAATGTAGATATACTCTGTAAACCTACAGCAAGATTATTTTTATCAGCCATTTTATGTGTAGATGCTACAGTGTGATTCCATGCGGAAATATTGCTAAAGATTTTTAAAAAAATATAGACATTGTGTGTGCGCGTGTGTGTCTGTGCGTGTGTGTGAGTGGGAATGTTTCATTCAAAGTCCGTACTCTAAGGGGAGCCCAAGTGGCATGCACTCCCTACCTGCAGTGCAATGCTGTTCAGCTGCCTGGGGACTGAACAGGAGGATGCACTTCAAAGAAGAGATCCGCTATTTTGTTTCTATCCATGAATTTTGCTGTAATTGGTTATGCCAGATAAGATGTCACAATACCACTGGTTAAAAATAAAACCTATTTTTCAGATTTATTGCACTGATGGTACTTCAAACCTCTTGTACTAAACACTTAGTTCTAGCAAGGGATGAATTTGTCCCTCGTGCTATACAGGACTGGGGGGGGGAGGAAAGGGCGGGGGGGCAAGGTTGCATAACTGTTGACCAACGCTGTTGACACGAGGCTTGTGCATCCGTAGTTCTCCCAAGTGACTTCTCTGATACAGAACTAGCCTAGAGTCTGACCGTGAGTACTGGACACAGTACAAATTTTTCTGTTTAGCACAGGGAAGCTCTTACTGAACACAATAAACAAGTGCTCTGCTACTTGCCTGAACCTGGGACCTTTCCCCAGTAGCACTGGTTTACAGTTTTTTGCCATTTAGATGCGTGGGGTTTTTGTTTGTTTTGCTCTTCAGCTATCATCTAGCTGGTGGTGGAAGGGTTTTTATGGCAGCAGGAGCACCCTGGCTCTCCTTAACACAGATTTTCTGACTTCTGTTGCTTACCGGTGCTATAATTCAATCAGGACAATGAGAGAAATGATTGAATAAAACAGTGTTCATCACGCTAATGAAAGCCTCAGTACCTGAAGTTCCCAGGCCTTGATAAAACAAGGTGGTTCGTGTTGATCCAGGGCAGGCAGCTGGCATCCACCTCTTGGACGCTCCCCTGTTCCAGAGCTGTGCAGTGGGGGTGGGGGGATCCAGAACCCTAATTCCTGAGTGTGCTCAGTTACAATACAGCCTCGTTAACAACAGATACTAAAATCAGTGGGAAGTGAACTGTGGAAAAAATAAGGAAGTTCCACCTACAAAATCTAATGAGTTAAGGTTTCCTAATCTAATGCCTCAAGGTTTCCTATTTGATTTGAGTTGGTCACTTAAATTAATTCATCCTACTACAGCCGAGACATGTCTTAGATATTTAGAACTCCTTAATTGCGTGCTGATTAGTTATGTGTGCATGCATAGTTGAGCAAGAGTTCTGTGCTCATGAAATTACAAATGAGTTGCATGTTTGCTTATGCACCAGCAGTTTCTGCTGTAACACCTCTTGCTCACAGGTGTATTTATAGAACCAAGCCAATCTTTGTTTTATTTCCTTACCATACTGTTGCTATAGCTGGATTTATTTGCATCTGCATGCATAAGCAAAGCTAAAACACTACCAACTCCCTGCCCCTGGTTTGTTTAATAAAGCTGCAGACCTTACCATGGCTATCTGAAGAACATAAGGGCCAGCTCTAATGTGTTAGAGCAGTTGCTGTAACTGCTGTTACCTGTAACCAGGTAAAATGAATCCTCCCTAAATCCTTGACAGTGCATTTTCCGTGATTCCTATTAGCAGATCCTAGTCCTGCTGCACGGACGCACTCAAAGCAGGGACAGCTTTACGGACGGCAGGCACTGAGCTGGTAGAAGATGTGAGCAGGGCTGAGGGCTGGCAGGGTCCAGCAGGGTGAGCGGCTGGGCTGGCTCGTTAGGGCACCCCTTAGTCACTTCCTCTGTGTGCAGGATGTGCCTTCAGAGCCCCACTTGGGCATCTAAAGTCAAAGCAGAGCGTGGAGGCACTCCCTGCTTACCAGGAGGGGACGACCTTGTGTAAGCTGCCTGCGTTTACTGCTCTCACTGCAGGAAGGAGCAAACTCGGGTTTTGTGCTGTCCAGGGGCACCTGGGATGGGGTCAGACCTGCCGCAGGGAAGGAAACCGGACCCAGCCGAGCCTCAGGCACCTGCAGGTCTCAGAATGGTTCCTGTTCCTCCTTGCTGCGGTCACCTGGATGGAGGTGGAGCTCAGCCAGCCTTCATCTGCTGGGAAACCAAGCCGAGAGCTTGGAGAAAATCACCATCACCTCCTCGCTCTCCGGTGGATTTAGCACCCTGTGGTTGTTCTACACAAGCCTGGCGCTGTCCCCTGTCCATCTGGAGAGAACATCCCTCTCGTCTGACGAGGCGCTGTGGCTTGTCCTCCGCATCAAACGTGACCTCGGATTCCCCGGCTCGGCGAGCCCTTACTCATCCGAGCCGTGATCTCACGAGACCCCCTCGGAGCCCCATGACGGCATTTGGCGGCGCGTGCCGGGGGATGGCTGCTGCGCCAGGCCCAGGCACGAGAGGCGAGAGCGGGTGAGCGCGAGGCTCTGCGCCCTGGCCAGAGGTGTGTCCGCCGTGGGGCTCGCTGCTCCCCGCGCCGATAGGAGAGTCCAGAAATACCTGCACACGGCCGAGGCGTGTCTGGAAACCTGATGCCTCATCGCAGCCGATGTGGAGGCGGAGGGAGGAGGGCCGAAAGACATGTCCCTTCACGCTCACATCAGCTGAACACGGAGAAGGAAACTACGCTAGAGTCCTTTTTTACCCGCACCGAAGGCCTTGGTGTCCCTGTCTCACCCCAGAAGCCTCGCTGTATTCCAGTACTCTGGGGGGGTGGCAGTCCCGCACCCGCCGGGCGATGAACATCGCAAGGAGACGAGGCTTTTACAGACAGGAACTCAACAAAACCATCTGGGAGCTGCCCAGGAGATACACGTCCCTCCACCCGGTGGGGTCCGGGGCCTACGGCTCCGTCTGGTGAGTGGGGAGCAGCGAGGGGCGCGCAGGGGGTGCTCGGAGCATCCCTCAGGGGGGGAGCGAGGAGGTGCCGAGAGGCACCCCTCCATTACGAAGGGCATTTGCATGCGTGATGCAGGTGGTTTGTCTGGACGAAAATGGACCTGTTTCCTCCTGCGGTTGCCCCAGGTGGGCAGCGGGGAGAGGTCTGAACCCAAGCTCACCTCTGCAGCATCCATTCAGGATGGGGGGAGTGGGATGGGGACGCTCGCCCAGCAGCTGGAGCAGGTAGGCAGGGCTGCCAGGCTGGGTATGACCTCGGGTCAGGGAGCTCCTCGGCTCGCCTTGGTCTTGAGCTTGGATTAAGGGAGGATTTCTGTCCAGCAGAAAGGGAAAAACAACAAAAAAACTAGGTCTCTGAAAGCAGTTTGTAAAGGGTGAAAGAGTTGGGTGCTGGAACAAAGCACCAAGCCTCCGGGGACAGGGGTGGCTGTGGCGGTTCAAGGCAGCTGATTTTGGTCTGCCCAGGGAAAAGCAGCTGGGTGGTACAGCCCCCAGTTCTGCTTCCAGTTTGAGCTCATAAAACAGAAAGCGTTGTAAAGCAGGATCAGTAACAGCCTGGGATTTCCTTCCTGGCCGATAGCAGTCCTCATCCTACAAGAGAGCAGTGCGAGCTACTGTTAATTACATGGGCAAAGGTGCCGATAGTGAAAGCAAGCAGAAGTCGGATCTTGCTTTGTGCTGGTGAATTGGAGGAGACTGATGACTTTTAGAAAGGTTGAACTTGAAGCAGCCCATTGATAGCATCTGAATGCAGCCTTTGTTGCATAACATGATGAGTTTTAAAACCAAAAAAAAAAAAAAAAAACAGGAGGTGTGTCCCCTCTCCTGGGCGTTGGGCAAAGTGCCTCTCCTGGGAGGAATCCCAAAACCCTGGGGCCTAAGTTCTGGCTTTGTCCCCTGGCTGCCTATTTCACAGCACACAGAGGCACCAGATGTTTCCTTCCCCACTTTGCTGTTCGTGTGCAAGGTGGGCTTCTGAGACACTTAAATGAGTCCAGCAAACTCCAGCAGCAAGACTGAACTTGAAGGTTTTTATATTTGCACTGTGTTTTCTGGTCTTTATAATAAAGTAAAGCAGGAAGACTAAAAGAAAATAAAAATGGGTGAGTCATAGGGAAAAAAAAAGGAAGACAAATCCCTCCAAATCCTTGACCACTAGGAAAAAAGAAAAGAAAGGAGAGAAAACCAGCAGTAAGACAAATCTTTTACTGGACCCTGTGCAGACCTCAGCTGCTCTGAAGAATCTCGGGGAGGGATGGATGTGTTAAAACAGACCCAGGGAAGAGGGGGGCATTATTATGGCATGGACACTGCTGGGCAGAGTGGGATTGGTGTTGATTCATGTACAAAGAAGCATGTGGAGTTAGGATTTGCTGTCCTCTGCTGGGAATTGCTGGGAAGCTTTTCTAGCACAGCATTTTTGGAGCAGCCAGCTTCTGCACGTCCTTGAGCTAATTCAGGAAACCCAGCAAATGCTCGTTTCTTCCCTCGTTAATTCTGCTGAAACCCATAGCGATTTTGTAATTGTGGGAGGAGTTTTTTGCCATCCCCAACGCTGCTCTTCCCAGCCAAGGTGGGGACCTGGCTCTGCCCGTCGGTGGCCATGGGCACGGTGTGCTGCGCCCCGGGTCCCAGGGATGCGGCGGTGTCACCGTCACCTGCAGGCCTGCGCGGGACCTCGCCCCCAGGTTGGCCTTGGCGTCATCCTGCACTTCCAGCTACTCATTAAACCGATGCTGGGAAGCACGCTGTGGGCTCACCCCGGCTGTGTCAGCTGAATTAACTCTTAGCTCTGCCTGGTGGCGAGGGTGAAAGTAACGCTGCTTACACGGGGCAGGCTGAAGCTACCGCACTCGCGCTTTCCTGCGTTGAGTGGTGGGGTTGGATACGTGCTCTGTAGGGCAGATTTTGGGACAGCAGGTCAGAATGTGGGCTCTGAGGTTAGGAAAAGCGCCTCGGATCTGCAGAAGGTGTTTGACCGTGAGGTCTCAGTCCTTTCCTCTTAATTCGCTTGCTCCTTGGAGAATTTTTACACTGTGCTGCCATTTCTGCCAACGCCTGCTGATGTCCTAATGACAATGAGACAATCTCCCCTTCCCTCTCAAGATATCCTATGTGATCTTCAGCGCTGAAGCTGCCTGGCGTAGCTGTTCCAGCACTTCCTTTGCTTTTTCCAGCTGAATAGACTGACAAAATCACAGTCATAGTGAAGCTCTCAGAGGATGTGTCTGCTCTCATTGCCAATAACTGAGAGCAGCTGGAAGGGACCTTAGTGGCCATGAGATTGCCTTATGGTACCAGAGATGTTGTCTCTGCTCGCTAGATGAGAGCTGTTGATAAGCTGAACCGCTGGAGGCCACACCACAACTGATTACTTGGGGCTGACAATCGGAGAAAGCTGCTCAACAGACTGTCA